AGTAATTCAATTTTAAACAGAGCCCAACTTATCAGATTGCACCTGAAAAGCATACAGCATTTTCGTTGGCAACAGCAGAACCTCCGACGCAGAGCTGGCCAAATTACTCATATTTTGTAATTAATGTACATTACTAATTACTTCGCTGAAAATTGCTGAAATGTAATTAAATTACATTACAAATTACCACAGCCAGAAAGTAATTAATTACCATTACAAATTACTTTTAGAAGTAATGACATTACTTTCGCATTACTTTTGTATACTTTTAAATATAAAGGAGCTATTGATAACTTCCTTTTACAGATATTTTTATTTACATTATTTACACAGTTCATTGCACACAGCTAGAACTCTCTGTTGCATGTTTACCGATGGACAGAGGAACGCACGCGACTGATCCGTTTCCCACTCCAACCCGGACAACTATTTTTGGAAATGACTGAGGACCTTACGCGGATTATCTCTGGGAGGGGGGAGAACACGTGTCATTCTTCGCAAAATCGCGTCGAGGGCCGTTCCACCAGGGGCCTTGGTTCGACCTACTTCCCCTCCTTTGTTTCCCGAGAATGTCGAGCAGAAAAGCTCGAATGGAAGGCACTTACCAGCCCTATTTCTCACAGTGGACGATAACACAGAGAGGGTACGCAGTATGCATCAGAAAAAGTAAGCGGAAACTTTCAAGAGGGGCCAGAAAACGTCGAATGCAAAACCGCAAAACATAGGTAGAGAATCGCGCTGAGCGGGTTTTCACAGCTCAAGAGAGTGGCAATAAATGTCTAGCTGATAGCGGGCGCGAGAGTCGCACCAGCCGCATTAGCATCAGCAACATAGCGGCGGCCAAAGAGCGTTTTTTGGAAAGGTGTAGAGGAAAAAGAAAAAAGTAAAATAAAAAGAAAAGCGCTCTTGTGTATTGTGGACACAACAAATATGCCTGGTGCGAAAAAGTAATTAGGTAATTTAATTACAATTACAGTCGCTGGAGTAATTCATTACATTACTAAATTACCTGCTACAAAAAGTAATGAATTACATTACTAATTACTGGAACAAGTAATTAAATTACTGTGATTTCGTTACAGTAATTACATTACTGCCAGCTCTGCTCCGACGTAATATCAGGCAAAGAGAGCCACCCCAGCTTTTGACTTTTACGGTATTGGGGGAAGCTCAATCCTTCGACGATGACCTTTGTACGCACCATCAACCACGGTGATCGAGACCGGGAAAAAGTTAAAGCCCGCGACTCTGACGTATACAATGCCTGATGTGACGCCACAAGACCACACGACCAGTCATGCATACTTGCGAAACTTGGCGTGAAGTTTCGTATTAGTGTTCATAATTGATTTAACGAATATTGGGGCGTCTTTTAATCATACATGTATCACATATGACTATATTTAGGCCCTCTTTACGTGACCAGCGCAAAAACTTAGTGACAGCCTGATATCATCGCGCGAGTCGCGAGCTCCATCTAAGTTACACCTGGTAGCAGCGTGCAAAAACACAAGGACGAAGAGAGTTTTCTAGCATGTCAGCGCTCGTCTCGTGCATTCCTCCCTTTGTCCTTGTGTTTTTGCGCACTGCTACCAGTTGTAATATAGACCTTTCCAATGTTTACAAATCCACAGCTCAGCGTGCGATCTCCACAGCTCAGCACGCGCGTGTGCGTCGCTTCGGAAAGCGAGCAAATCACGCGCGATACGCACGAACACTGAAAATGAAACCGGCCAGCAGCCCTTTTCTGAAAAGGTCTATAGACGGAGCTCGCAACACGCACAGTCAATGAAGGTCTCGCGTGAAGTCTAAAAGTCGCACCCAAGGATTACATCAGCGAGGCAGCTTGGTAAACAGTAAAAATGACAGATACTCGTGGTCGGGCAGGATGGGGTTTTGTTCGGTGGATATGAGCTTTGACATATGAAGATTTTGCTCTCTTTTTTCTTCTTCTCTTTGTTTCTACGTTCTCCGATTGAGGTGCAGAGCCAGGATCTGATGTGCTTTGCACTTCCTCACCCTTACTTTTCCCGAGCATTCCCTTGTCGTTGGATTCCTCCATTTCGGATTCTTGTTCCTCTGACTTCGCTGGATCTTCAACTTGGTAGATTAGGAGAGGAGTGTTCGATGCGATGGTGATGGCGTCTATGTTCACTGTCTTCTCTGTTTAGAGCCTGACGGTGTTGGATTATTTGTGTCCTTTTCATTACGTGTGGTTTTTTCGATGTTGGATACCATGAGACTGTTGTTTTCCTCTGCAGGCACCTCTATTGTGCTGCTGCTTCTGAGTCCATGAGGTCCTCAGTAGGATTCTCAAGAGAGGCAGTTGTACGGTTGGCGTAGGTCTGAATGCAATTTTTGTTTTTGTCGGTTCGTGCTTGTATTTTTTGCATGCGCTGCACCATGCAGCGCGGCATTGACCTCGAACGTGTCCTATTTGTTTGCATCCCAAGCACTGTGGTGCTCTACCTGGCACGGAGACAAGGACAGCGATGCCTAAAATTTTGAGCTGGTGCGGCAAGTTGTCCGCAGTCAGTTCCTCGTTTAATTCGATTGATATATTACTCTTGTGGCCGTCTCTACCTCTTCGTAGCCGGAGTAGTGTCATATGTCGCGAAGGGCACTTTATTTTACCATAAGCAATGAAAGCGCTGGCTACGTTTGCATCTGGGACGCTTGTTGGGATCCAGTGCACCTTCATGGATAAAACAATTCTACAAAATGCCACAAAATTTTTTTTTTTTTTTTTAACCACAAAAATAAGCTACGCATCGCCGAACGCTCATTCTCCGTCCAAAGGTAGAGCGCCTGTGGCCAGACCTGTGGGCCTCCATTGTTGGGACAAGTCGCTACCTGACTCTTCTTGGGGACGGGATGGCAAAAGGGAGGGAAAATATTTTTCCTACTTAAAATATTTTAGAACATGGTAGTGAACACAAACAAAAAACCAGAACGACGGACAAAAAACATTTTGGACGTTAATATTTTTTTATAATTTAGGATAACTAGGATTCTGTGTTTTCGGAGGTTATTTTTTTGTGAAATTCGTAGGGTGTTTTTCGGAGATTACTTTTCGCTGGAAATTCGGGGTTCGGGGTTCATATTTGCTAGATTCCCAAGTGTCTGAAATTCAAACTTTACTTTCACGTTTTTTTTTGTTTTGTTTTTAAATAAAAAATGGACAGTGTTTAAACAAAAACGTGCACTAAATTTATTAAAAATCGCCAGCATTGAAAGATATCTCTGCTGCTGCATTTGGCATTAGCACCCATGCGATTGGCAATACTCACTCTCACACAACAAATCTTTAATTAAAGTGTTACTTCAATAAACGTCGGTACTTTGAAATAGCCATACAGGCATACCATAAGCTGCCCTCCACATCCTATGAAATCTAAAGGTTTACGTGTTTCACTGTTACAAAAACACGAACCCTTCCACCCATAAGAAGCACAAATAGTATGATCCAAACTGGAAACCAGGGTGTAAAATAGACAGGTGGGGAAACGACCCATAGAAGCCTACCGCAGTGCCGTGACCGGATTGTGTACTCGTCTGCTTGCGGGTACGCCCGGTTTGCGACAGATGGCGCTGCGGTGAGAGGAAAAAAAATTGGAATCGGATTTGCATGGAACTGTATGGGAGAGTGCACAAAATAAACCGAGAGCACGACAGTCCTCCATTAAAAATCCACGAAAAACCATCTCCGTCAGTTTAGCCGGTCGCTACCAGTCGCCCACCTGGAGTGAGAGTTTGCGGTGCTCCACATAGATGGCGCCACAGAAAAAGAGAAAACCAAGGGGGACACAATCCGGTCGCTCATTTGGCTTTCGTTTCCCCACCTGTCTATCTTACACCCTGACTGGAAACCGAACAGTAGCTTCTGTCGTGGTTCAGAAGTACAGTGGCCCATTGTACTGAACAAAACTTCGAGTTATATGGAAAACTTCCTGTGGCCAAAAATTCAAAATTGAAAAAAAAAAAAAAAATCTGAACTGGTTTTTACTTGGAACAACTAGCCCTGTGCTCTGCCAAACTTTATTTGTAAAATATTTACTTTTTCTTTTTTTTTGCCATTGGGATTTTGAAATTTAGAGCTTTTCGGATCAATCCGAATTGCCGAACAGTTTACCGGCGATTGTTTTTCGGGGTTTATCGAATTTATCTGAAAACATGGAACCCTAAGGATAAGATGGTCCTAGAGTCCAGGATTAATGGTGCTGGTGCACCGTAGAGCATGAATTACAGCCTCTCTGCGAGTTCTGTGTTGCAAAGATAATGCAGAAGGGCACGGACAAATCTTTTTGTTGTTCCCCCAACTCCTTAGATTCAAATTAATGATGGGTCTGCTTGACCCATCACAAATTTGTCCCAAGGTTCAATGTTCTGCAGCAGCTCCATGGCGGCAGTCCAACTAGTGCATAGCACTGCTATACTTCTGGTGTCTTGATTTGTGGCACAAACCAGAAGTGTGTGCACTGTGTCCTGTTTTTTTGTTTTGTTTTTTAACATTGCCTTAGAAAGTGAAGCACACAGCTTTGTGCTACCGGCACTCGCAGCTCTGGTGCTTGGCAGAATTTTTCTAGGCAAGGAAAATGCACAAAAGATGATATCATTGTAGAAGATTGGGACAAGCCAGGGTAAGGTGATTGCATGATTGGGCACAGTGCCCAAGATGCCAAGACTGAGAATAAATAAATAAAAATAAATAAAAATAAAATAAAAATAAATGTTAATGTGATCATGCGTTTCCACGACTTTGGAGCAGCTGATCTAGAATGGAAGAGCTCTGGCTTCAAAGTTCCGAAGGGGCCAAAAATGACAATTGCAATGGCAACCAATATTTTGATAAAACAATTTGCAAGCTCTTGTCTATCTCTATGTTTGTATCTACTTGTGTTGCATCAGCAGGTAGGGAAGCCAATGGAGCAACTTTCCTAGGGTTAAGTAGTAGTGAATTCAAAATATATACTAAGAAACGAACACAGGAAACAACAAAAAAAACAACTGGAATAATTTAATCTCTTTCATACCCTATAATTTGCATGTTACAGTTGCAATAGTTGGCAGTGGTTTGGTGGAAATGTTGTTTTCATGTGAAAACACCCCACTACCCAAACTCTCGTCAGATTTTAAGACTGCCCTTCACAGTCTCATCCTCATTGCACGGCACTCACTTGTCAAGAAAAAAACAAAAGCAAAGTCCCCAAAGCCCCAACATTTACAGCACACCAAACTCAGGAAGTAATCCAAACACCTTACAGCCTTTTCCAAAGGCTGAAGCTTCAAAGGGTTCAAAAGACAGCATGGATTGCGACAAGCACATGCCCACAATGGGAAATTGCCTATGAGTATTGCACTTTGAGCGACAACCATGTAAGCACCATTCAGTGACTTCACAAGTAATAAAACATGTTCAAGGTGAGGACCAGTGACAAACAAGTCACAAAGGCAGCAAGGCACAAACCAAGAGAAATGTCAACTTTACAAAGACACTGACCTTAATGTACTTGCCTAGCACATAATGCCCTCCTGACTTAGCTTGGCTCGGACAAACATTTTTCTTCGACACTGGCCAACCTCGCGACTGATACGCTATCCAATGCATGAGAGATTAAAATTCATTCAGACACATTACAAGCGAAAACATCTGAGCAACAACACCCTTTGCCAGCTCTCAATATTCACAACATTTACACATTGAGAACATGCCTTTCAAAATGTCCATACTTGAGAGATGGATCTAACTAAAAGGCACCAGCTGAGAGATTCCTCTAGCTATGCAGAGAGTAAGTTGTCTGCTTCTTGCACAAGAGTTGCATTGATGTCAAAACGACGCCAAGCTCCGAATGGCTTTGATTAAAAGGATAGTGGGTAGGCCTCAATGCTAGATGCCTTGAGGTCTACCCACTATTTTTTTCAATCAGCCAATAAGAGCTCGGCGTTCTGACATCAATGCAACCCGTGCAAGAAGCCGATGAACTTGCGCTCCACATAGGCAACCACGGTCAAGATCTCGCAGCAATAAAGAAACTTGTTTTATTTGTTTAGATGGTTTTCCATTCACACTCCATCTTTCAACCAGGCACAAGTGGTCAAGGAACCTCGTCAAACGAGAAACACAATCAAGAGTATTTCGTACACTGGACGGACCTTTGCCAAACTCTTAAAAACAAAACAAGCATGTTACCGTGTCCACCAGAAAAGAGGGCAATGAAAAGGAGGCTGAGGGCCCGTTACGGGAGAGCCGGAGGGGGGAAATGTTTTCCCAAAAGGGAGTCAAACAGACCACAAATCAAACAACGATTACAGCAGCTCGTGTCTCGGCGACTCCCTGGAAACCGTAAGGAAGACCCCCCACGCAGCACCAAGACAGACTCCTGACCTCTCTCCAGAAACATTGGGTGAAGGAACAGGCCATATAAAAAGATGTTAGCCTGCCGAGGCACCCTTACTTGGCCTTTTTCACCACAACGCCTCGCTGCCACGCCAGGATGAGTCTGACGGCGAAGTAGAGTGAGAAGAGGTGGGCCTGGAAGGCGACCACCAGGAAGACATACCAGAGGACCGCGACGGGATACCCCTGCCACAACTGGATGCCCTTGACCGCGTGGCCGTGCTGGACGTAGGCATACATCTCCCGGAAGAAGTAGACGGCAGCGAACAAGACGGGACAGAGGCCCAGGAGGAAGGTGCCCCCGGCGTAGAACTTCATGGAGCCGGGGCGGTTGCGCCGGACAGCCGTCAGACCCGGCAGGACCAGGACTATGCTGGAGAGCCAGATCCATTCCCAGAGGAGCGGCTTTGGGATGTACAGCTCCTCCAGTTCGAGGATGAAGATGTCGAGGCGGTCGAGGACGTCTTCGACCAGCTTGGCGCACATCATCAATGACAGCAGGAAGTGGAGCAGCATGGAAGTCTTTAGCCGCGACTTGTAAACTGCGCTGTTGGGACACACCAACGAAGCGGTCGTGAGGTTAGGTGCAGGCAAAGATTGTACAGTTGGGGACGAATGGAATGCGAGCAGCAGACAGCGCGACCTTCAATAACATGCTGCGCCGCCTGGAGGTTCCTGGGAACTGACAGAACTATCAATGTGTCTGTCTCACTCTGGTGTGTTTGACCGTCGCTCAGCGCAGTCCAACAATCGGTCATTTTTGCTCGCTGAGCTCGTGCCATGCGAGGAAGACAAAAATCGAGCAAGAAGACAGCAGACACCCCATTTTGAGTTTTTGCCTTCCTCATGAAGCAAGCCAAGCAAGCAACAACAGATGTAACAGAACTACTAACATGCCGCTAGCATGACGCCTTGGACTGTGCCGAACACGTCATTGTCTTATCGGTTCCTAGGGGCCTCCGGGTGGTGCAACGTGATTGAAGGCCACGCATTGCTCAGTTTGTATTTCATTCGTGCCTGATAATAAAAGTCTTAATGCCCTCCACTCGTATAGAAAGAGTACCAGAGGAGAATTTCATTCATCCCTTGCAACACCTCACAAAAATCTTTCAGAAGGTTCAAGAGAGGTGTAACTCCTACCTCCCGGTGAAAACAGCCAAAGCTTAGGCAGGGCAAACATGTATCAAAATAGAGAGAGGAAAAAGAGAGGGAGGAGCAAAGACCACCAAAAGACAGAGAGGAGGAACCGAAAGTGTTGAACACTGAACTTGACAGATGGCGCACAGAGCCAAGTAACTAGCTGCTTGGACCAGCTTTCGATATGCTGCTACGTTTTGCAATGTTTGTTGTGGCTTGTATGGCTTTAGTTCCGATCCTAACACCTCTCATTTTTTTAAGCACACAGCACTGTACGGTGCTGCGGTATTGTAAGTGCTAGCAAAAAAACAGAATAGCTTAATACGAGGTTTACTCGTATACGCTTTACCAGGCTGCCGCTGTTGCATAAGCGGTGAACAGTGCCTTGGTGGAAGATAAAACCGCTAACTGCTTATATTCCTAGTGTGCGAAAGTTGCGGTTAGAATATCGTTGATGAGGGCGCGCCCGAGACGATCTTTATTACCCGCAGGCAGCAAGACACCGCACTGCCACGTTGGAAGAGTATACGTTCTGCTCTCAGGCGTGACATATGTCCGTCGTGCAAAGTGTGCAAAGCACAAGGTGCACCGGACGGCGAAGGTCACGCCGCAAATCGGAGCTAATGCAGATGCTTCCTATCAACCTATTTGCCTCGATGCCTTGTCGTACGCGAAGTTATTCCGGCTGTTCCTAATATTAGCAACGCTTCCTAAGGCGATTAGAGCCTGGGGACAATTGCCGTCCGGAACCACTAACCTCACTTGGTAGTGGGCGGCCACTTTTTGCCGATGGTTGAAGTCGCTTCCATCGGTGCCCGTAACGTGAACACCACCGCGAGACGCCATGTCTAATTCGCCGTTCACTACGAAAAGTTCGGAATCCTTGAAGGAGGTCGGAGAGTCGACATTATTCCTTCGCCGGAAACGTCAATTGTTTTCCGGTTTCGCAACTTTTTCGCACAGCGTAAATAACTTGAAAATTTATGTTCTATAAAGTTAAAGATACTTAATTTACGAGCGTTTAAATTAGGAATTAAAAGCGTGTATTTTGTTTTGAATTAGGGTCACCTCCTTAGTTACGAAACTACTCATGGCTGCGTTTGCGCGAGCGCGGCCGAATCCGCACATGCTAAACAGATTCATGGGAGTGTACCTTGCTTGATCCCGTTCGCGTTCTCTGCGTTACGCGTTGCATGTTCCGTCCCCTGATCGCGCGTTCCACCCGGTAATTTGTATCGACCACCGCTTAACCCATTTCCGGGCGTTGCTGGGCGTCTTCCACGACCGAAACGAAACCGAGGATGACAGCTGATGAGGAAGAAGACATCCCAGGTAAGGCGCTCTCTCCCTGGGCGATGCGTGTTTGCATCACTGGGCGCATGTTTCACGCGTTCCATCCGGACGCACGAATACAACGGGTTTCTTCTATTAAATTTTATTTGTTTCTCTGGTCTAGTTAAGCGCATAACGTTCGGACGCGGCTGGCGGGCGAAGGTCATGATCACGCGGAAGCAGTTACGCTGTGTTACGGTACTCCGTCGTCGGACCGCTATGCAGATGGAGGAGCCCTTTTCAAGGGGGGGACCACTCCTACGTAGAAACGGGTTCTCGGAGCGAACGGCTTGTGTGTGTATGGGATTCGCACACGCGCGAACTTTCGAGGAAACAGGAACAAGTTTGCTGGGTTTTCAGGTGGTTTCCTGGCTAAATAAGATGCGCATGGTGTCTCCGCTTCCTAGATGGACCGTTGCCAAGATTGTGAATTTAAAAAGAAAAACAACAAGAAGATTCGTCGTACATGTTTCGCAGACGCCGCTCGCTTCTTTCCCAATTAATTACGCAATAGTACTATATTCACTCCTGAGAGAAAGAGAACGGAAAGGGAAGAATGAAAATAAGAGAAGAGATGGCGGCAGCGGATTTTATTTTCTCTTGCTTGCTCCTCCTCTTTAATCAAAGATTTGTCCAGCGCTTCTTCGTTTTGCGGAAGACCGCAGCGGTTGCTAACTGGTTGCTGTCATATATGCCACGCTTTAGTTTTGATTTATTTTTTTATTTGGCGTCGGCCCAAGGTTGTTTGATTGTGTCACAGTGGGGGTGTGGCCACGTTCCGTATGCAACCCTTTTGCGCGGTAGCACTTCGGCTCTGGTCCGGCGACGCCGTAGAAATCTCCGCGTCGCCGGCTATTTACGCGAAAGATCGACTGCAAGGCGCAATGATTATTCTGGCCGAACCTGCCCGTGCAGTGTTTTAGATCTATATACCTGGTAGGACACATGGGAGCTGCTAGTTACAGGCGTATTAACGACAACGTCTCTGAGCTGCAGTGTAAATGCTAACAGCTTCAGTGCGCTTCCCGACCATCTTATTTACGTCGTTTATCAATCAATAATTTCTTCCTCTTCTTTTTCTGTCAATGCTAGACACAACTCTTTTTAAAGGTCCAAAGGTACAATAGGCAAAACAATGTCGTCCGATGGTGTACAAATGGCCAGCATCAGCGGCAAGGTCCAGCAGAACATAATACAAATAAGTAAAAATCAAAACAAAACTGCGGGCACACAATATCAACTATATTTAGGGTTCCACGTTTTCGTTTTTTATTATTTTTTTTTTTTTCGAAATTCGGCATACTTTTTTTGGTGTTTAATTTAATATTCAAGTTTCGTTTTTTGTTTTTTTTCGGTGGATATTTATTCCCAAAAAGTGTACCGGTTTTTTGTGGTGAATATGAAAGAAACACCATCGGACATCGGATCAAATGATCCTTGTAGGTGTGATATTTGTGATCACTCAAAGAATAACGACACATACACATACGTGGTCTTCGCTACAACTTCCGTCAGGACACACCTCAAAATCTTAGAATTCGTGGGCATAATCTTTAGCGTGCTTCTTTTTCCTTCCCATTCTCACGACGTGACCGTCTCAGGTGATGACCGTGCAAAAACCAGCTAAATAGCAAAAAAAGAAAAAAAAAAATCCATTGTTCTTATGTTGTTAACCATAGGGAAGTTTGAGAGACGGTGTTAAGAAAGGTATTAGCGGCTTTCCTCGATGTCCTCTGAAGTGCATGAAGTGAAAAACCTTATACTAGCCCACATCCAAACTTTTTTTTAGGACCGGGAACTTGACACACTAAGCCTGATCACAGAAAAAACACAGATGTCCCGTGAACGCCAATCCAAGACCTCTTTTGTTGCATGTTGAACCTTCGAAGAGGGCAATCACGAAGACGTCTCTCAATGTCGAACCTTGCAAAGCCCTCTCTCTGTGTCCCCCCCCTCCACCACCCACCTCGGCACAGCCCTAAAAAACTGACCTTTTTCGGTTAAAGCTGAATTTTAGAAGATGTATTAGACACACCTTTATCGGTTTTATCTGAAGACGTCGAACTATAAACTTATATTTTTCGGTTAAAACCAAATTTCCGAAAATGGATTCGGCATACTTTTATCGGTTTAAACCGAAAACTCCGAACCCTAACTATAATACAGTACTACTACAACAGCAATAAAAATACAAAACAGAGCAAATGTATTATGTAGCGTAATGTGGGGAAGAAAAAAAAGCACCGTCCGCTTTAAACATCATCAAAGTATTTGCTAAAAGGAAAAAAATTCACTTAAAATATAATAAAAAAATATGCACTAGTAAAATCATAATAAAAAAAAAATTAGAAAAGAAAGCTTACTTACAATAACTACTACTGCGTGTCCATAACTTAATGTGTGAAGGGGGTGGGGGGGAGGGGTCGATTTTTCTTTTGGCTGTGCCACTGCTACAAACCCTTGGCTTTAAGTACTATTGCATGTATCGCTGAGACGGTTGGCCCGGAGCACCAGTGCTCTCTGATACCTGGAATAGAATTTGGCCTGCAGGCATCAGTTGAATCGGTGGCTACTGAGGAAGGCAGGTCTCACTGGGTGTTTTATTGAGTGTGTTATGATGGCAGACTCATTCTCGTTTCAAAACGGTCACCACAACTGCAGGTTACAAGATCGCTCCTAGGATATGAGAGAGCCCCGCTGACCCGAACCGTCTCGGCACGGCTAATGACTTCAGTTTAGAAGAACACGGTTCCTTATCTGTTTATGATGTGCCATTGTTTTTGTCACTTGGTTCGTAATGTCGGATGGTTGGCATGTCTCTGGCTTTTTTCCAAGGAACCGGAGCGGTATGTACGTTTGGCAAGTCGAGATTTGCCGGCAATCTGCCCGGGATGTTCTGGGTGAAAAATGATCCTGTCATCCATGTGGCATGTGGAGATGAGCACTCCGTCTTTATCACTGGTATGTGTTTTCTTCTGTCCTGGCAAACATTAAGAGAGAAATGAAGCATCTGGAGTCTTCTCTTGTGTTCTTTATACGTTCTCCTTCCGGTGTCTCTCACTCGAGTGCCCTTGCTTATCTTCTTGCCCCGACATCTACGCTAAAAGTATTTTCCACAAAACAGCATGCTTTATGTGATTTGCAGCGATTATCTGAAATTTGAACGGTTCCTTCCGTGAAGCGAACTGGCTGGTTCTTGCTCGGGTATGGTTACTCTGGTGATCTGCTAGAATAAAATAATTTGTTCTGTGCACCAAACTTTCTGAAGCTTCGGGTGACACAAATATTGTTCAGGAGGAACTGTTCTATTCCCCCGATTTTTGTGTTGCCTCTTTAGAAAGTTAGAAGGGATAATTTCTCATCTGTGTAAACCACTGGTTTGGGCGAGTGACTGCCATAAAGTTTATTGCATTTATTTTTGTCTACTTTTTATTGAAGCCTGTTCAGCGATTTCCTCGCTTTTTTTTAGGTTGGGCTATATGGGTTACTTGTATTCATTCAAATTAAGCCGGGACACAGTATCTACTTATTGCAGTAAACAGGAGGCCACAGCTCGAATGAGCAAGGGAGTCATTGTACTTTGTTTCTTATGGATGTCTTATTTGTGTGGACATGTACATTTAATCAAATCAATGCCATTGTTGACATTTATATAAACCCAAGTGCAAGAGTTTGGGTGGGGTTTTGAAGCAATCTTTTTTTTTTGCTTTTGTTTTCAGCCGAAGGACGTGCTTTCAGTTTTGGAAGCAACGGGTACGGCCAGTTGGGCCTTGGCCACAAGAACCCGGTGACACGTCCCAAGTGTATTAAAGGTAATTTCCTCGCTAAGAAAATAATTCTGTTTTGTCATTCAGAGAAGCTTTATTTGCCCCATTGTAAGTACCGTATTTTCCGAACTATAAGTCGCACCCTTGTACAAGTCACGCTTCCGTAAATTGAGCCATTTTCGCGAAAAAGTTGGTATATAAGTCGCACCTTTGTATAAGTCACGCATCTTTGCACAATTCACGCGATAAGTTTTTTTCGTTTTACACACCGGTATCGCAAAATAGGAGTTCTGCACAATCGGCTAGTTCACACATACCGTTTGACGCGCAGCAACTTTGATGATTCGACTCGCGCGAAATGCCCATAGCACGGCGCTGTTTGGCAGAAGGGGGCAATTGAGATTTTCTCCGCATGTGAAACATGCAAAATGAGAAGGTTGTCAGTTTTATTCGAGTGTGCACATGCTGAGCGAACGAAAGTTAATCGTACCAGACACTCGTGACCCAAGCTTTGAACCACTAGGCCCTAAGCCAAGTCACGGAGATGACTTGAGCACCAACATGCAGGCAGATAGATAAATCTTAAAGGGATACTTCAACGAAATTTGAAATATTCCCGTTGTGTTCAAAAATAGGTTGAATACGATCGACAATATCCATAAATGACAACCGACCGTTTGTATTTTGAGCCTGGTGGCTGTATTTTTCGTTATAAACGGCCCACTCTGGCAAGCGCCCGGAGAAGGCCCAGCGGAGACCACCTGACATCCCACGCAATCGTGACATAGGTCGTCTCAGGACGAGCAAAGCTACGGCGAGGCTGACGTCGAGAGGATGGCCTAGTCGTTCCAGCCACCGAAGCGGCTGCTTTTGTACAAATTTTGAGTGACGGGATAATCTTCTGTAATCTTGTAGGAGGACAATAGCGACTTCTGCGACACACAAAAGGCATTCTCGGGAAGAGGGGAGTTCCTCCTGCCCCTCTTCTCTCGTCGTGGCCGGAGGCGAGACAACCTCCGTCACTAGCTGTTAAGGTTCCTAGACGGGCATTACAAGCGAGGCGTTAGCGACATCCACCAGGTGCTCTTTGCTAATCGTTTAATTCGTTTTAAAATTCCTTTTCGTGACTTTTTTAACAAGATATTGGTATGTTCGATTTGATGCTGCTCCTTTGAACACTTATAGACCAAAAAATGAGCGCCGAAATTTCGTTGTAGTATCCCTTTAACACTCGTTCAGTATTGCTAAAAGATCAGGTAGCCGCAATCCTTCCTTTTACATGTAACAACACGGTTGGAGCACGGCAGATAAAAATTGCTCATCAAACAAAAACTGAAAACAACACAAGAAAATTTTTGGCAATGCGTGTGTACCAGCCCACTTACCTTTCAGTGTTAGTGGACTGAAGCAAAAGAATACGAAACCATGGCGAAACGTCGGTCACGTGCTGTAGAAGCTTTATTCTTACTGTCTTGCCCATCCACATTGAGCTGCTTTGAGGAAACCGTAAAATTTCTCGCTTTCTGAGTCAGTTATGAAAGCAGTAGAAGAGCATGGCAACAGCAGTGCCTCCTTAAAGGGGCAACACCACCTATGGCTACGTAGGTAAGGTGCTCTAAGAAAGTAGGTGCACAGCGCATTAAAAAAAAGAATGGCGTCGCACAGAAAAAAAACAAGAAAAACCTGCACATAAGTCGCATCGTTGTATAAGACGTACTAAGAAAAATGTTTGAAAAAGCCGCAACGTTTACACCGGAAAATATGGTAGTCCATATTTTTCTAAAGAGGGTATGGCACTCACCAAAGGAATTTCTTTTTAAGAAACAGTAAACCTAGGGAAAAAAAAAAATATTTTTTTTTTCCTACCTACAAAAATATTTGTAAAAAAAAAAAAAAAAATTGCCCAAAATTTATGTTAGAATACAAATTTTTCGATTTGCAGGCGTTTCTAAAATTATACCCCTATGAGATAATGACGATAGTGTTTGTACCCTACTATACTCTGTTTCGCGATAACTTGGCGAACTGTGGAGGCTGCGGCACCCACGACCGAATAAGAGCGCCGGAGCGAGGCACGTGATAACTTTCCAAATCGAGGCCATGTTACCGCCACAGTAACAGTGCCGTCCGTGACAACAAATTGTCAGGGATATTGTCAAAAAGCGAGCCCGTGAGGGAAAATGAGCTGGAAATGCCATTGAGTGCCCTGAGCAGTCTTGAGGACTTGAGGGCAGAAAAATAGTTAAGTTAATAAATTCTGCTTAGAGCAGAGTGCATGCTCTGCTTACGCGATGTAGAGTGTGCTACCCGGTGCAAAGAGAACAGCCGACAAATCCAGTCCAAGCATTGGTTTGGATCGGATTGAGAGCGCGACACTAGGCTAGACCCAGTTAGAGCTACCAGATTTAGTACCAAGTGGGAAAGCCGCAGACCCCAATCCAAGCCTTAAGCCGAAAGTATCCGAAAGTGTGCATCTGGCGGCCGTGTTGCTATTCGGACGTGTGTGGTTGAGCGTCGTGTTTACATTGTGTTTTCGTAAGCGACCTCTTCACTGAGGATGTCGGCGGCAAGAGAGTGCTCCTTTAATCCAAACTAGACGAACCCGAATATTTTGGAATATGCAAGTTGGATTAAGCACGTGCAAAATGATCCTCACAGTGCTCAATGCTCAATACCTTGTGTTGTAATGGTCTTATATAATAAACCACCTCTACAGTGGTCAAGGAATTTCACCTCAAATTGTCAGGGAAAACCTAGAAAAGTCAGGGAATTTCAAAATAATAAATTGCTAGACACCCTGCAAGTAGTTCTAGGCTTTTTTTTCTTTTAAAGGGGCGGTGCAATGATTTTAACACTGAACGAATGTGCAGCTTGGCTTTTTTATATTGTTTACTTCGGCATAAGTAAGAGAAAAAGTGCCATCATACCCCAAAATACCTTTATTTCGCTGCGTAATCGCAAAATAAAGAACGCTTTTTTTCCCAACCTGCGGCCACATGGTGGCCGCAAATGGAACTTGTGGTGTGACGTCATTCGGAGTGGTTTTCGTAAGTGACAGTGTTAGGCAATTGTAAGCTTGATTTAAGGTTAAGTTTAAAAAATCTTGTTGTTTAGGCATGCAGAGACGCTTCAAAAGCCAAATATTGCCACTAAAAGATTTGTGGCGCCATCTACCGCAAGTCAACCAAACCTGCCGTCGCCGTCATCCGTCGACGCCCGAGGCGCCTACGGCGGCTACACGAGCATCCCGGACGTTTTGTCTTTCCCTCGCTCGACGGAGTGCGTTGGTCGTGGTATCGTTATTGTTCCTGGTGTCTCGACCTCGAATTCGACTGCCCGCCGCACAAGTCCAACTGACTTACTATACGCAAGAATCTTGCGCTCGACGTCGCTCAGGCCGTCCGCCCATGCCGCCATCTTGGTCGGGAATCGACGGGAGCGCGGCGATACGGTGGCTAGCCCACCGTAGCGGCGAGCCTGGCGAGCCGGCGAGCGCTGGGGAAACGGAAGCCAGAAGCACCCAACCGGAAACCAACGCCACTCCGAATGACGTCACAGGCGAAGCTGGTGCCGCTTCAATGTTGAGTTGAGGGGTGCCAGAGATACCAATTTCTTTTATTTTTTTTAATGAAAATTAGGGCAAGCAGGAGAGAATAGTTTTCGGTCCTTCGTTTTATATGTGGCCGGGATCAATTCCCGCAATTAATTAGCCAAAGTCCGCAAATTGTTGCACCGCCCCTTTAACGGCAATCAAACTCACGCGCTTCAATATCTAGTGAGAAGATACGAAGAGTAAAGAATAAATATTCACAAATTTATGTTTGAATTGTATTTAAACCAAAAAGTGATGTCACATCCGTATCTGCTCCCGATATTTTCTTTGCTTGTACCACCGTGGCCGTTGGTGATTGCCGGTCATCGCAGCCGTGCAATCGGCCGTTTCCGCTCAAGACATTGCACTGTGCCCTGGCAGTCGCACCCGTCACAGATTTGCGGCTAAATTTAGAGTATGGTTGTCTCGTGAACTGTTCCCGAAATGCTCCCTATTCTAGCCGACGGAAATGTTGCTGCGATGGACGTGCATCCAAAGTTGGTTAATTTCGGAGCAGACAATTCTCGGCTAGCAGACGACAGCCGGTTCCCCTGGGCCTCGCGCCTCGAATTTGGCCAAGTGACACAAATGCTCCCATGACTTCAGGTTACGTGCCTCTCTCCGAGTTCGTCAAGTTATTGCGAAACATAGTATAGTGTTCCCTCTGAGGTCCAGTGAACTCAGAGCGCACACTAGTTGGGTACAAATGCTATCGTCAGCATCACACAAAGGTGCAATTTTGGTTTCGCCTGCAAATCGAAAAATTAATATTGTAATATAAATACTGGGCAAAAAGCTTTTTTTCTAGACAAAAATTTATTTTGAGACATGCCTGTCATAACCAGGTAGTATATATAAAAAAAAAAACTTTTTCATAGGTTTAGTGTTACTTTAAAAAGTTTTTAGCGCTAATTTTGTAGGTTTGCATATGCTTCGGTGCAGGAAGACACAAAGAAGCTATTATCATTCACAGAATTATAGCTTTAGAAACTCCTCAAGGTCAGCAGGTCGCTGTAATGTGTAGCTTAAAGACAAGAAAAGTTTGTCATTACTGCAGCTATGCTTATTAAGCATCTAGTTTTTTTTTTGTTTCTTCCGCTACCGACTTTTATGGTTAGAGAGTCGACGTGAAATGGTCATCCCTAACTAGGCATGCATGAACCAAGGAATGTCTCGTTGCAGGCCTGAAGGACCATCGTGTCGTCTTGGTGGCGTGCGGAAGGGCTCACACTCTGGTCGCGACAGGTGAGGAATCCCCCTCGTGCTACATCTTGTAACCGCTGCGCTGTAAAAATACAGGTGCAGAAACGTAGCTCTTAAAAGTGCATTGTTGGAATTTTCGCACAAACAAGAAAAACATTTTCCTGTACCCCTTCCAAGACTACAAACATGAGCTCCTCGCTCTTGAGTATGAACCTAGACTGCGCCGACGTGCGTGTAAGGGGATCACCAGCCAAACCTTACCACTCGACCTCGTGGTCCTTTTTTTTGCATCGCAAGTTCTAGCCTCGAGCATGTGGTCTTGATTCACATCAAGACCACATGCTCGAGGCTGGAACCCGCAATGCGAAAAGACTGAACGAAAATCGGACAGAAATTGAACCCTCCAAAATCCGTCCTACACGATTTTCGGAAGACAAGCCACGTGAAGCATCTTTTTCCCCCGCACGGAACTAGCGACGCTTTACGATTCCTGCGTGCTTTGCCGGGTTTTCTTGCTCTGAGCCATCCGAAAGTCGGAGGCTCTGTCCGAAAAATATCTGGAGCTCCAGATCTCTCGAACCGTTTTCGATGTTCGCAAAAGGGGAGGAGCCTTGCTGCCGTCTGAATTGCGTTTCCGGTTTCTGCAGTATGTTTGGTCGTTTTTTGCGTCACGTGCTCCAGCCTTCACACTTTCCACAGCTGCGCATACGAGTCTTGAGATGGGAGGCAGCATTAATTTGTCGCAGAGGCCTTGCTACATGCACCTGGCTGTATCAGATCCTCTAGGCAGTGGCGTCACAAGGGGGGGTGGGGGGGGAGGGGCGGGCCACCCCGGCTGCAGCGCTCAGCGGGGTTTCGTGGCAGGCAGCGAGAGCAGGGGAAGAAGAAAACGGAAGAGGTCACGGAGGGTTACCGCCCCGAATGTCACTGACCCTAGTGACGCCACTGCCTCTAGGGGAGCGCTCTTGAAAATTTGCTCTCTACAGACTGCTCGACTGTCTTGAGGCCCATTCACACAACTTGCATTTGACTTTGAATGACTACAAGACCGGTTTTTAAGCCTCTTGCAACAGCTTATGACCGGCTGCACAGCAATGCAACCAGTTGTAAGCTGTCACGAAGGCTTAAAAACTGTTCTTGTCTACGTCGGTCCACTGGCGGGCACAAAACTTTGTGAATGGGGGTGGTATGCTATGTATTTGTTACCAGAGAAAAATATATTTTCGGGTTCTATGTTTCGTAATATTATTTAAGTTGCGAAATTCACAAAAATTGGGTCCTCGCAAAAATTAAGTCGCTTAAAGTAGTTACAGTGTAGACCGCATACAACGTTTGTCGCGGGAGTCGCGAAAATCCGCACTGTAAGCGGTACCGCGCTATAACCAAAACATCAATTTTTCAGGCCAAAATGCATGCCATCAGACAACTTACATTTGGAAAAGAATTTATTTTATGTTAGATGAAAAATAAAGCTTAGTTTGAGGAAAGTCTTTATTTCACCAGACTAGTACACTTCTCTCTCAAGTGTGTCACACATTTTGAAAGAAATTAGCGACTTTTGCCTGGCGCAGCCTTTTAACAGCGTCGCGGGTTGCGGACGGACGTTGCGAGCGTTGAGGATTGCTAACCCTAATCACTTTTCTCCGGCGATGAAAACGTGTGAAAATTCACATCCTTTATACGGTATGCGCCAGTAATACCTTCAACTTTAGCACAGGCGTGAAATGTTCCAAATAAGAAATCCAAGCGATGTTCGAAAACACAAATGCTTAGAAAGCACCACTGCAGTCGAAGTAAACAAACACGACGACACGGGCGTTTCTGCAGTCTTGACAGTGCCGCCACAACATCGCCGCACAAGTAGGTGGATCTTCCCTTCTAGTACACACAACGAAAATTCACAGTCAAGGATAGCGCTTTTACGTGGAACGATGAGCTTCTACCACGCCGTCTACATCGACTATCAAAACCGACGCCATGTTTGCGGATAGAAGCAGCCGGCCGGCCAACCGGCCCGCGACCGGCATGCAACGCGCGCGAACACTTCTCCTCGATTTGCGATTGGTCTGTCGTTGCGGTTGTTTCCAACGCAGCGAAGGGACGCACGCACGTGAACGACACGTGCGTGCATCCCTCCGTCGCTATGGCAACTGAAGCCTCTCTCCGCTTCTTCAAGCAACCTCCTTGCCCCGCGAGTGCCGCTTGCGGCTCGCGCCGTTATCTAGTGTCACACAGGGAAGCGTGCTCTCTGCGTCGGTCAGTCGGCGCGGTCGCCGGGTTGTTCCGAAAACCGCACTATAACCGGTATTTCCCTTTGCGCGCCTGCATCTTAAGTGGTATGTAATTACATGGAGTTCTATGGGAGGCGAACCGGTGGTTTAAAAAAGCCGCGTTATACCCGGTCCTGCACTATAAGCGGTTACGTTGTAAGTGGTCTATACTGTAGTCGTCAATCTGGCTGAATATAGATTATGTCTCTTTTCTTTGGTATCGTGTAAACAATCCAAGAGGGTCTAGCACTGGAAAGCGGAAGTGGCAATGTGTGTATGTGGGCACTTTTTCCAAAAAAGCTGCCCATCTAAAATGCACTTGGGGCTAGAAACCAGCAAGAGCACACTGTGACTCGTGGGCACTCCGTTATAGCTGCAAAGATGTTCGGTCTGACGATTTCAACCCTCTTTATTGCTTTGTGCGTTCTCGGTGGAATGATTCCTGAATGAGTGCAGACCCCCCAACGTTGCCGTGAGCCACAGTTCAAGGTCCACTGCTCTAGAGTTGCACTGGCTTTGCCCTTCTTTTCTGCCAGATGACCTCAAGGTTTATGGCTTCGGCATGAACACGGAGCATCAGCTTGGCCTGGACTCTCAGGAGTTCCAGCACACCGAGCCTGCCCTTATCCGTTCCCTCACTGGCCTGCAAATCAAGCAGCTGGCTGCTGGAGCCGAGCATTCTGTTGCTCTCACGGGTAGGTACCACAGTTCCCCCATGCTCCCTTGTAACTAGGGCTCTGTGCTTCTACTGATAAGCCTCGAAAATTAATCCCCGAGTCGCTTAAACGAAAATCGGGGAAAACCGAAACACCTCGAGTTTGAGCTTTTTTTTCGAATAAAACAACCCAAGCTTCAGTGGAAGATGTCTTTAATTACAGTTTTGTTTTGCACCTCTCCGGAACACAGTACGCACTGAACTGTCTGCAAGGCTGCTCCTAGTGAGGACACTCCAGAAATAAAACTATGGGTCTGGGTCATATTTCTTGTAACTTGACCACTGATACCAACTAAGTATTGTTAATCCTAAATTTAGATTGAACAGAAATGTATTACCAAATTCATCACTCAGTGACAGTAATTCTGTCGAATGGCCACAGCTAGAGTCACTGTATGGGTTCCCAGAGTAATGAAACTTCGAAGGTTCGTTCTAGAACCGCGGCGCGGCGCTGAAACCGAAACCATGGCGCCGCCATCTTGGGTCCACGTGTCGACGGAGGGTATGAAGGCAATAGTGACATTCATTGGAGCGTGTTGAAAGAGCTGGCTCATTCTGCGATACGCGGAATGAACCAGCTGTAATCGGCACTCAAATCACGAAGCTTGCTTGTTGCAGTGGGCTCGAAATCTTTCCATTTTACTATGGCCAGCCAAGCCTTCCTCCATTTTGCGGTTGCGTTCTTTCCAAACGGGATCCCGAAGAGTCTCTTTTCCATCCTCCGACCTGCTGCCGCACCCAAACGCACACAAGCAGGCACTGTGCCACTAAGTACACAACCTCCCTGTTTTTGACGTCGGTAACCGCGTAGAAAAGACAGCGCTTAAACGCGCGTTCGATGAGCAGTTGTTTGCTGGACCCAAGATGGCGGTGATTAGAGCTGCTTGAAGAGCTGATGGAGGTGAGTCTAGCTGTGGTTGTGTCACGTGATCGCTACCATCCAATGATGCTCTCCAAGCCAAAATATGATCGGCTGGAGTGAGTATGTTGTCGGCAAAACGCAAAAAGAAAAGGAACGCGTTACTCTGGGAACCCATACAGTGACTAGCCACAGCATTTCAAGATCCCTCCCCGAGGTCATTCCTGAAAAAAACTAATCTTTTTATTTTTTGGTTAATGTCGGTTACCGGTAAATAATTTACGGTCACGGTTTTCATGAAGTTCAAATAACGGTTTCGTTTCGTTTGAAAAAATTTGGTTCCTAAATGGGTTTCGGTTACGGTTTGAGTCCCTAATTGCCACCTGAGACCCCCCCCCCCCCATCCCTGCGCCTTTTGCTTACGAAGCGCTCTCGTCGGACACCACTGCTCCCAACAGTTGAGAAGTGTGTGCACAGCCCATCACCATGATATGCAGAACACAAGGAAGGTCTGTCACCGCGAAAACAAGGCTAGGGAAGTAGTATCTGGAAAGTCGGTAACTTGCCCTTCAACATTGTGTGACGGTACGCAAACTAGCTTACCATTTCTAAGTATAGATGTCTATTGTACAATGGAATACAGATAGAAGTTGATAACTACAAGGGTTTTGTTGTGGTGCCTTTTCATGTCGGTTCATACAATGATAGCCTGACCTCAGCACCAATTCAGTTTCCCTGCAAAATTTAGCGGAGAAAATGACGTCGCATGACTTTGTGTCAAGTCACGCATTAACAAATTTCAGTTTCTCCACTAGATTTAGCGGCAAAATTGACGTCACGTGACCTCAACAGCAATTCAATTTCCCGCTAAATTTAGCGAGGCGGTTACACCGACGGTGACATCGACGCCGTGAAATGCGGAAACCAATGCCTAAGAGCTGCATTCTAAAATAACAAAAATATGACCCGGACCATCATTTCACGACCTGACCGGAAACACCCTATACTACAAGGACCCATTGTACAGTCCTATGCTTTTGCCGAATTTGTTTCATAAAGGTAGCTTCGTGGATGAATTGATTTCTATGCGGGACGCTCGGATCCAGACCCTTTCGGGAAGGCCACCGTGATTGGTGGTTCACCGACGTATTTCGCCCGCTGCTCAGCGTACTCTTGCACGCGCTCGCAGACTTGACTCTCTCGGCATCTCGCACATTAACTTCCTCGTTTACCTTCCGCGTTCCGAGTACACGGTTCGAGACGACGACGTCCACAGCATCGCTCGCTTCGATCTCAACAGTGATCAGAGCGATTATAATCGAGAAATGTTGGGCAGACAAACTTGCCATCGTCTGCGTCGATCTTGCATGTGCTTGCCGGCTGGAAGGTCAAAGGGCAGGGGGGTGAGAGAGAGAGCAGCGTTGGAGTAGCCAAGTTGTGCGAGAGGGTGCAATCGTACCGTGGCGAGGCGAGCTTGGGCGACCATGGGGGTGCCTGGAATGAGAGGGCATTCGGCTACGAATCATTATCACGTGGTTTATGCATTGCCTGGTCGCCAGACGAAAATTATAGACATTAGTGTATTGATTATTGCGGTTACTAAAGCTCTAACAATCGTGGAACTTGGTGTGTGTACTATGAGCATTCCATTTCAAGCCTATGAGCATTCCATTTCAATAGCCTACCTGTCTTATTTTTGTGTCCTAACCCCTTTAACTTGTTCCCTTTTCTTGTCGGAACCAGGGAAATTTGTAAGAATTCAGGTCGTGCACATGTTCCTTTGAAGTTGGGGAATCCTACACCCGTGTCAAGTTTTCATAAACCTTAGCTCCAATAAATGTCAATGTTTTGTCCAGCATTGGAAATTGACACCGCAAAATACTGAATCCATGGTAAATCTATACTCGCAAAGGTACCCCCAAATTCACAGAAAAATTTAACCCAAAAACATCTGCTTCCAGGGAAGCCACAGTTACGGTGCTGTGCCATCTTTATTGTTGCAATGCCAGAGCATGAGTGCACATGGTCACTGATGCAATGTACAACCAAAGCGGGCGTGTCTTTTATACAGCCCCCTCATTATGATGTCACGTGATGCGAGGACCAGCGCTTGTCCGCTTATCAGATCACTGATATAATAAAGTGGGACCAGTCTTGGGCAGTAACTAGTTACTAGTAACGTGTTACCGGTTACTAGTTACTTTTTCCGGTAACTTTTACCTATAACGCGTTACTCTTTAATACTGGTAACTTGTAACTGTAGCGCTGTTACTTTTTTATTAGGTAACTGTAGCTCTTCACGCCGTTACAGTTACTTTTTTTTTTACTATATAAATTTGAACCCACTGCCGCGCAAGAATATAACGTGGAGAAATTGCCATCTTGAAATATTTTTCTCCAAACTCCTCGCTGACAAAGAAAATATTAAGAAGTGTGGCCACGCATTAAGCAAACTAAAAATTGCCTGGTTTAGCCCACGACAGAGAATGGACGACGGACGAGTCAGCACGAAACCGGTAGATAAAGGAAGCGGCACCCGCGGTGGTAGGGGCGGCAAACAATGTCTCTTTCACCAACTTTGGCTTACTCTTCTCTCGTGAAGACCATCTGCGGGTGTCAATGGTCGTGCGATGTCTCCGAGTGTTCCATCTGGGCTGTGTCTGGAACATAGACACCGCAGTGGTCATCATACACTCATAAAGCACCAGAAGCTAATTGTCTCCTTTCCCCCTTTATTCTGAAGCTGTTTGACCTGCTATGTTTAGGCCTGCTTCCGAGTATAAGGTAATTTTGTGACCATCCGTGTCCTCACTCCTTTCGGAGTGAAAACTAAACCAAAACGTACACTGACGCGGGCCGATAACAATTTTGAAAAACGGTTGATTCTAAGTTATAACAATTATTGCAAATAAATTATGCACATCCAAATGCTGAAACGGCGATTGACGCAAAAAAGAAACACCCTCCGGGTTTACATAAAATTGAAAGAAAAAACACGGAGGACAAGCACAGCACAACCACTTTCTTTGAAAGTGGTGGTTGTCCTGTGCTTGTCCTCCGTATATTTTCTTTCAATTTTATGTATTCATGTTCAACCCGCTCGCCTTCACCAGTCCGGATTTAAATTTTTGTAATTTCTCAGTTTAGCTTCCTTCTCACTTTAGTGTAACAAATAAAATAATATTGTTTTGGTTTGTGATTCCTTGAGTCTAATTTTTTGTACTGTTTGTGAGAAAGTAACGGCGTTACTGTTTTTGCAGTAACTGTAACTGTTACACATTACTTTTTGTAACTGTAACTGTATCAGAGTTACTTTTTCCCCCTAGGTAACTGTAACTCAGGGGTAGCCTGGTTCACCCGGCCTGAGAGCCGCAAACAAAACCTCGAAACTTCCAAGAGCCGCAAGGGGGGGGGGGGGGGGGGGGGGGTCAAACTTTTGTCCAGAACTCGAGCTACTTCCAATCTATCCGAGTCAAAAGCAGTCAAACTGCACGTAAGATAGCTGTAGCACAAAACTAACAAACCGCAACCTGTCTTTCGATTTAAAACGCGTTCCATTTCCCCTCTTGGGGAAGTGCTCGTGTGACCGTGGGGGAGGCGGGAAAGTATGTGTGTGTGTGGGGGGGGGGGTTAGGGGGAAAGAGCCGCGAGCCGCACTATAACACGCGAAGAGCCGCAGCTTGGTCACCACTGCTGTAACTGTAACACTGTTACTTTTTACTGGTAACGTGCCAATGACTGAGTGGAACCCTACTTATAACTACGGCTTTTTCCTTCTGAAGGCTTTTCTCTTCTGGTGTTCCTTTTTTTAAATGCTTTGGCACGATTTATGACCTAGGGGTTATTCTTTGTGGTGCTTTTGTGTTTTAGGTATCAAACATTCTGTTCAAGTTTTTTGTTGTAGTGCAATAGTTTTGCGATTAGACATCCAGATTAGGACATTTCTTTACATGATTAAGGTAGCTGCATTTTTGTGGGCAAAACTATTTTATTTTTTTAAATTTTCAGGTGGTTTGACAGGAATCTGTTGAAGCTCAGACAGTCTAATCCAGTCATAAGAAATTAATGCACCCCAAAACTTGCTTCATTTTCTCTAAAAAATGACCCCATAAAAAAACTTTGATTGCCAAGCGTTCCACACGAAAAGGCTGGATTTTGTGCTGTAAAGCACGAGTAAACAAACCTTAAAAAAAAGAAAAGATCTTAAAGCCTTAATTTGAGTTACTCCAGCAAATCATGTCACGTGACAAGACAATAGAGCAACGCTGGACGCAGGTAGGTTTTTGAACACCAAGGTACAGAACTTTTACTCTAGAATTAGATCGGGTAAATTTTGGAGCATGGCCTAAGACACTGCTTCTTCAGGGCTGAGGCTTAACTGTGATATAAAGCTAAGTTCTGTAGCAAAACATTGGCTGCCACTCTTTTGAGACGATTCTTTCACAGGGTCTTGTGGCAGTCGAACCAAGCTGCGCCATCCTTTTTTCATGTATAGGGAGTATTCACTGGTAGCCATAGCTGTGTGTGCGACCGCTGAGCACATACTGACGGCGAGCTTCCACAGTTCTTTTGCAACGTGCATTCCGCACCATCAAGATTACCGGTCTTAGCAGCCTAGCAGTGCGAGCTCGTTCTGAGCGTGCGTTTTAAACATCTCCCTGAAATATGACATCCAGTGAATACCCCCTATACCGTACAGAGTGAGATAAAGAGATGAAAAAAAACTTGTCTCTTTGTTTCCTGTCTAGTAAGTGTGTGCTTGTGTCCATGGCCTGTGCATTCCAGACAAGGGAGTCGCCTTCGTCTGGGGCTGTGGCAAGGAGGGTCAGCTGGGCCTCGGAACAAGGCCGAGCGTCCCCGAGCCGCTGGAGCTCAAGGTCGACATCAGGATCATGAGTGTTTCGGCCGGGTACTACCACACCGCAATAGTCTCTGGTGGGTCTCTCACATTGACGGGTGTCTCTTTAGCACACCACCACTGATTGTCAATCGTGGTATGCATCAGTGGTTGAGAACAGTCCTGCTTGCTGCGCAAATTTTAGCATCCTCTGTGAGCTCACGGTTTTTAAGTTTGTGCAGAATGAATGTAACGAGTTCTTAAATGTTAGGTCAGCGTGTGACTTCTTTACACTTCCCATCAAATCCATCATTTGAGTACTTGATGTAAAGTTTGGGAGTTCAAAGACGCCGACTATTTTGTACTATATTTTGTCGAGACTAGCATGACTTTTGCAGTGCTGCATCGCTGTCCAAGCTACTTACACGAGCACCTGGTGTTATTTGGGTTCTCCTTAGTGCGAGAGCGCCTGCGAAGGACACGAGAGACAAAGACATGCTCTCGTAGCAGTCCAATGCTTTTGAAACCACACTAGCCTTGACAATGTGGCTCCAAATAGTTGACGCCGAGTATAGTTACCGTATTTTCCGAACTATAGTTTGCAGACTAGCCATGTTTGAAAGCTGAAATTTTAGGCAGTGGGGACTATACAGGAATTTTGTTTTTCGAGATTGTCATTATGATGAGACGTGACGCATTTTGCCAATGAGGCAGTACTTCACTGATAGTGAAGTACTGCCTGATCACCCTAATTTCATTATCTATCGTCTCGATCGACAGCAACGACGCGGTGGTGGCGTTCTTATAGCCGTAGATAAAAAGATACCTAGCAGAGTTGTTTCTAATCATTCACAGCTTGAAATAGTTTGGGTCTGCTTACAATGCAGTTTTAGGTCTGTCTTGGTTGGTGTTTTTTACCGTCCTCCTGACGCGTCACACTCGTTCTCAAGCCTTCTTCACGATGAATTGTCATTACTTTCAAAAGAATATCCAACCTATCCCATACTTTTATTTGGCAATTTTAACTTTCCGTGCATTAATTGGAACGACCCAACTCCTGTCTGCTCTAAAAACTCCAGTGTTTGTCAACATTTTATTGAAGTCGTTTTAGATTTCAATCTTTCTCAGTTTCCCTTCCTACGCGAGTCTCTCATTCCTGTTCAAACATTTTAGATCTTGTTCTTACTTCTCACCCTGAATTATTTCCAACGCCTTTGGTATTCTTGGACGGCATCAGTGACCACAAATCAATTCATTCTTACATAAAAGTTGAAACTGCAAAAATTGTTCGTTCAGGAAAGAAAATATTGCTATACGACAAAGGGAATTACGAAGAAATAAACCGAGCGTTGTGTGACTATTTCTCTTTTTTCTTAAATAATTTTGATTCTCGAGATGTTAACGAGAATTGGAACTTATTTAAAAACAAGTTAGATGAACTTGTTAACATTCATATCCCATTCAAATACCTCAGGCCTTCCTCGGCGAAACCATGGTTCAATCGACAGCTTAGGTCTCTCTGTAACAAAAAGAAAAGGCTTTTCCGTGCTGCTAAGCGTGATGATACTCCTGAGTCATGGTCCAAATATAAAAATTGTGAACATAACTACAAAATGAAACTGCAAGAGTGCAAAAGCGTGTACTCTCAGCAGACGCTCCCTTCAATATTACTTAACAACCCTCGTCGTTTCTGGAGTATTGTTAACTCAAAAGGCCACACTTTACCAAAGATTTTTAACGGCTCGGGTGAAGTTGTGCCAGATGATCAGTGTGCAGCTATGTTTAATGATGTTTTTTGCAATGTGTTTACACCTATTTCTACCGACTTTTTACCTGGTCACGTTCCTGCTGATTATTTTCCAATGGACCCTGTTTTTGTAGAATTTAATGGTGTATCTCAAATTATTAACTCATTAAAGGTCTCGTCGTCCTCTGGGGTTGACAATATAAACACTAAAATATTACGTAACACTAGCCTGTCTTGTAGTTTATTTCTAACCAAGATATTTCAGCAGTCTTTGGAGTCGGGGGTGGTGCCTGGGGACTGGAAAATCGGCAAGGTCATTCCGGTCCACAAAAGCGGCAGTAAGTCTTCTCCCCTCAACTACAGGCCTATATCTCTTACTTGCATCCCATCTAAGATCATGGAGCATATCATTTTCACGCATCTGTTTGATTTCCTCGAAAACAACTCCTTTTTTAGCAACGCGCAGCACGGTTTCCGCCGCAACTTTTCTTGTGAAACGCAGCTCCTATTTCTTACTAATGACCTTCACCTAAACCTTGACTCCGGCCACCCCACTAGTGCTGTATTTCTGGATTTCGCCAAAGCCTTTGACAAAGTGCCACATAACCTCCTTCTGCTGAAACTTTCTATGCTAAAAATTGACCCTAACATACTAAAATGGATCGAATCATTCCTTCTTCAACGTCGTCAGTTTGTTTATGCTAACCACACCAAATCCTCCCTGTGCTCTGTTTCTTCTGGTATCTCCCAGGGGACAGTACTCGGCCCATTACTCTTCCTAATATATATTAATGATCTTCCTCTCAACATCTCTTCCACTGTGCGGCTTTTTGCCGATGATTGTGTAATCTATCGTAAGATAACCTCTACAGATGATACTGTAACGCTTCAAGGCGACATTTATAAAATTTCTGAATGGTGTAACACATGGCGCATGTCCTTAAATCCTAACAAATGTCAATGCATGTGCTTTTCTCGTTCATTGTCAATCACCTATCCTGTACTTCTTTTGAACTCTGTCCCCATTGATTATACTAACCAATACAAATACTTAGGCTTGAATCTCACACCTAATCTATCATGGCATACTCATATTAAAACAATTATATCCTCAGCAAACCGCTCTCTAGGCTACATTCGCCGAAACTTTAGATCCTCACCTGAAAACCTAAAACGTATTTTGTACACCACTATTGTTAGGCCTAAATTAGAATATGCGTCCTCCATCTGGCATCCTCATCAGAAAAATTTAACAGACTCCATTGAATCCGTTCAGAACCGTGCTGCTCGCTTTATTTTTAATGACTATTCTCGTACCTCAAGTGTGTCATCAATGAAGTCTCGTCTTAACCTTCCTCTACTTTCCTCCCGCCGTCGAATTTCCCGCCTTTCTCTTCTTCATAAAGTCTTCTACACACCTTTCTTGAAAATGTCTCTTCTGAACCCGCCCACCTGAACCCGCCCTTGAATGGTCCATCAAGATTAGACCATTCATGCAAGATCGCCCGTCCCAAGTCATCAAGTGAAGCACACCAGCATTCCCTCATCCCTGAAGCAGTTGTGGACTGGAATGACCTCCCGGACGCCATAGTCACCATACCCGACTCCAAGCAATTCCGACTAGCCCTTCAAAACCACTTGTACTGACCCACTCCCCTCTATAACGCCCCCGAGGCATTGAGGGTATGTATAAATAAATAAATGAAAGGGTATGTTAATGATGATGTATGTATATTTCGCAACTTTCAGTGATGGTGGTACCGCGGTGTGAGAGTCGCGCTTTTTATCTCCTGAATGATTGGCTTCACATTAAAGGTGCTTGCCTAGACCTTCCTGACATAGAAAATTTAAGTAAGGTTCTACTACTGCTCGTATAAAGCAAAACTAGAATTACTTATGCGTCGCAGACCCCTCCTCGTACTGTCTTTTACAACGATCATCCAGATGACAGCCATTTTGATAGGCATCAGCGGGCCCCCATAGGTCGTGAAAGTTGTGAATACTAGCTTCCTTATAAACTAAGAAAGCGGACATTTGTCAAGCTGTGCCGTGTATGAGACTATTTTCGTGTTGACTAAGCACCTTAATAATAATAATCATAATAGCTTTATTTACCGTGTGTGAGCATGGTGAGGGCTGAGGAAAAAAGCTGTCCAAGCAGCTTGAATGGCCCTCAGCCCCCCTGTGTTTGTCTTACCTCGTCTTCGTCCTTGTTGTTTTTCGGCGCTTCTGTACCTGTTGAGACCATGAACCGTGGCCCAAATAACCACCTTGCTGAGCACCACGTGTGGACTATGCAGGGCATGCAGACTATGCTCCAGAAGAGGACTATCTAAGCAAAAGTTTTATTTTTGACCCCAAATTTGCCCCTGCTATACACCGAGCGTGGACTATACAGTAGGCTCGCGATAATTCAAACTCGGATATTTCGTACTTCCGTTTAATTTAAACAGATCTGAAAATTTTGGTTGTCCCACTATGTTTAATGTATGTATAAGCCGCTTAATTCGAACGGCGTTTTCGTTCAATTCATACATTTTTTGTTCTTGCGGCCCCGTTGAGTGCGCTTCTTTCCGAGCACCGGTGCACCGCAGAGAAGCAATACCCATGGAGCTTGTTTTCGCAAGTGTTGCTTCTCCGCAGTGCACCGGTGCTTGGAAAGAAGCGCACTCAACGCGGCTCAAGCAGGCACACATTAGCGGAAAACGGCATTAACATTATGTGCTTCAAGACTAGCAATGATGACCAAGACGACATCGAGGATGAGGAACAGCTCACTGGCATCATGCTTTCTGGCCTTGAAGCACATAATGTGAACGCCGAGCTGGCGGAATATGCTAGTCTTGACGGCGATGTGTGTGTTTGTCGTGATGACTCATTAGAGGGCATAAGGAAGTAGTGCCAGCACAGTGCAGCAGTGAGAGTGAAGATGATGATGAAGAAAGGGATGACCCACTACCAACTGTCACAGCCGCAAAGGTCTTTGAGCACATCGCTCAGCTCCGGAAGTTTCTGTCTGCAAAGGAAGAGTCCCGCAAAGAGCTACTTGCGTTGGCTGGTATTGAAAATTGTGTCTTGAGATCTCGTGTACTGACTAAACAGTCCAGAATCGACAACATTTTTTGCCGGATGAATAAACTTAACGTCACAGTTCTTTCACCAATGTGTTATGCCTGTACTTGCTTATAATTAGGCCTTTGTAGAGGAAACTGGCAAAAATATGCTTTGTATGTGTAGCTATCTGTGTAACAAATCATAATGTTGTCTAGTATCATATTTAGATGAATTTCTAATAATTCAAACTTCTGGTAATTCGAACTAAAATCTGTGACTTCCTGGAGTTTGAATTAATGAGAGTCTACTGTTGTTTGAAATATATGGTTGTATGTCTTCGTGGAAAATTGCAACTCGTAGTGTTTTGAGACCGATATACACGGTTTGCTAGATAGACGGTCCGATAAAATTAACTACTTTGCACCTATGGATTTGACTCTTCCACACAAACCGACAGGTACCAATGTCAACTCCTTTCAGCCTTTTGTGTGCTCGATTTTGCCCCTTTCCCCCGCAGTGGACGGCATCCTGTACACGTTTGGAGAGAGGGATGGAGGAAAGTTAGGCCTGCCCAAAACCCTGTGCTGCAAGCGCTACAACAAGCCCACCGAAGTCTCCACCATCCCGGGGAAAATTGTGTCCGTCTCGTGTGGGGGAACGCACACTATGGCCCTGACTGGTGAGCGATTGGAAAGTTTTCCAGTCTGCTTCTTAAATTTCCTTTTAATGGGCAATGTATTTTATCAGCCAAATTTCATAACATAATCGTTACGTTCATCTGCGACGGTCATCCATTCTGTTCAGGTGTTGCACAAAGTTTAAACTCTTATATAAAATATTGAGGTTTCAAATAATTAACGAGACTGACAGCAGTTTTCTATCGCCTTCTTTATCGTCTTCTTTTTACTTTGTCTTAGTCTTCTTGTTTTTGTCTCAGAACAGTTAAGTTTTAAATATGCCCATAGGGCTTGTTTAAAACAAACATAAGGACACCCCAACAGGGATTGAACTTCTGACTAAGTGATTCTTAGCTGGATAGCGTACCAACCGAGTTAAGCGGCACGGCTGCTCGGAGAGCAACTGCAGAAAGAGCAAGTGTGTGGGGAACAGCTGTGCAGAGTGCAGCTTTCTGGGAGCGCAAAGTTTACCACGTCACATCCCTCGGAAGTGTGTGGTTTGTGCCCAACACATTCTGTGCTCCCCAGTCTTTGTCAGCATGATCAAGCTTGTGTAATTTGTTTTTGCTTTGCTTTTCCTCTCGCGGTTTGAAGCAGCTGCGTCTCTTCGCCGTGGTCCATTTTTCAGCCGAAGGCAAGGTGTACGCCTTTGGTGATGGCCGCAACGGGCAGCTCGGCCTGGGTAACAAGACGACGCAGAGCAGCAAGCCACAGCCCATCCCGTTTCCCGAAGGGATCAAGATTGCCAGGGTGGTCTGCGGGGAGAGCCACACTGCCTTCCTCTCCGGCAAGTTGCTGGTCATCGACGGATTCAGATCCATAGTTGTCGGTGTCATCTCTCCGTGCACTGACTACCCACACTGTTTTATTGTGTCTTACAACGCACGGTGAGACTGTCGCTCTTTTATGAATGTCTCGCCATCAGGAAAAGGGGAATCGTCGGGTGCAAGGAAAAAAAAGTGCTGGTGGAGCAGGGGTCCCTGGAACACATCGCCGACTGGTGTGTGTACCATGGCTTTAGTGCGTAATAATAATAATAATAGTGGTAATAATAATATTGTACAACAAAACATGCATTATATTGCACAGGCCCATGCAGCACAAGGGTGTTTGTAATGCTTTGGTACGCGGCAATCCCAGTGGTGGCACACCAGCGGAGGTGGACACAGCTGACGAATGTTTTGATGTCGCGCGCTGTGCAGCCAGCCAGTCGATGTAAGCTCTGGCAGCCACGGGTTGGGTCAACCTTTGAACTTTATAAATGATATTTACAGTATATACTGGCAGTTGTGAGGCAGTATGCAGAGCAAAGTTTCAACTGTGTACATCAATTGTGAAAGAAAGATATAGTGGTTTTTATCAAGAACACACTGGCATTGTTTACGAAAACTGTCATTACAAAACTAATTTAACACCAAACATTTTTCTTCACTAGATATGCGGCAGGATGCCCGGAAAGTGCAGTTGTGAAAACAAAATTTCCAAAAAGTAATTTATTTTATGCTAACATTGAGCTGAAAATCAAATACATTTTTTGCCTTCTATTTCGTCAACAAAATCCTAACATCTTTTATAAAAGATATCAACAAAATAAAAAAAAATGCAATGCCGCAGTTGAATTACCCATTAAATTCCAGTTAGGAAAAACAATGTGTGAGCGTTTCCTTTTTTCTGATTACCGAACGATAGTTTTCGTAAAGAAAAATTTATGACAGAAGGGGGAACAGAGAAAAATGCATTCAGAATGCTAGAACCTCTACCTTTCTTTAACATCGGTGGATCAAAAATAATTTTTAAAAAAATAACTATGTGGTGTAAGTAAATGAAAATTTCTGGGACTAGTGTATAGATGTTGGTAGATGTAAATATGGCATTTTTAAAATCGACTTGTTTTGCTGAAATTAATTTTTTTGGGTAATGTCCCCCCTTCATTCAAAGGAGCATTCAAGAGATTAGGCGTGTATCTGACGATGTGGGGTTGTTATGGCGCTGCAAGAGCAACAGATTTGACGAAGAAGCGGAGTCGTGATAGCGTTCTGCAGATGGGAAAGGTACTGACCCCAAACGACCTCTGAGATTAATCTTATACCTTTCCCGTAGAGAAGAGGCAGCTCCTGACTTGCGGCGATTCCCGCCACGGCAAATTGGCCCATCCCACGGAGGACTCCCCTACGAACAAGTTCAAGCCCACCTTGGTTGAGGACCTCCTCCCTTACCAAGTCCAGCAGGTACCATAAAAAACTCTGCTTTGTGGTTTCCCTGAAGTTGCCATCTTTCCATGTAAATGTTGTTAGAATACATCTACAAAGTATTGTGTCACAACATTTCTGTGTCCCGTTGTTGATTTTTGGTACTGCCAGAAGAATGGACAAGCAAACTGAGGTAATGCAGGATGTTCAGATAATAAGTTTCGAGCTTGTACTAGTTAGATAATGCATCTTGGAAACAAAAAAAAAGTAGTGCATAACTGGGTAAAATAAAGATCCTGAGTTTTTTTTTTATTAGATAAATTTGACTTATTTTATTTAAATCGGGTTAATTTGATCTAAATTGCTGTCGCTAAGAAATGATTATTTATAACTAGATGTATGTTTAAGCATATCAGATCGATTGACCAATCTATCAGATTACTAAAAACAATGGTGATGAAAGAAAGAAAGTACATGTAGACTACACTTTAATTCATATTTTTTACTGAAAATCCAGCCATACCAGAACAAAGGCAGCTCGATTTATTTTAGGTAGTAAAAAAAGCTTTAATAGCATTCTTTGTGTTTTCATTTGCTTGCATCATGGAATTACTCATTTATGTTCCTTTCTTTTGCATTATAATTTGCTCGTAATAAAATTCCACGCAACTGACGAACATAGTGGAAGGTACAGAGAAAGCTCAACATTCTGTTTTGGTCAGAAGAGCATTGCTTCTGTGCTCATGTTGAGCCTGCTGCAGTTTTTGTGGCTTCGTAATTATTTGATTGATACAAACCAAATGCACATAGAGAGCACGAAATGTGAGACAAACTGTAAGTAGAAAAATGTTTTAGAAGATATTTTTGAGGAAAGGTTTGTTTAAATCATTGCTGGTGTAATTTAAATCACTAATTAAGTCATAGTTTAAATCACGATTTAAATCTTTCTTATTTTTATTCTCCACCCTGGTGCATAGCGCAAGGAATTGAAACGCAGGAAAAGAATCTTTTGGATCAATTTCTTCATTATTTTCCACTCTGTTTCTTCCCATTTTGAAGAGAATATGGTCAAATATGTTTTTGGGGTTTTTTTTTTTTTTTCTTCATTTGCCGTTTCACACTCGCTTCACGCAACTTTTTTACATATGTTTTCGAAGTTATGTAGACCGGTATTCATGATAAATGGGATATTAAAGTCCCAAGCGTTTTAGGGGCGAAGCTCCTTAGGGGCTAGCCATGTCCGTATGTCCGTCCGATGTCCAGCGTCGGGTGCTCGTGCTCACGAGCACGTGCTCCCGTGCTCATGTAGGGAAAAAAAAACAACCGCATCTCCACGTGGTGAAGGATGTTGATTGGTTCGAAGCTCTGGTGGTGCTTGTCTGCGTAGACGCTGAGCCGCAGCATGCCGAGCCTTTCGTTTGTTTTCATCCATGTCAGAAAGAGAATGTGTGGTATGGAACGTGGTTATATACGTATTTGAGCATTTGACCGCAGCATGACATGGATGGAAACGAACGAAAGGCTCGGCATGCTGCGGCTCAGCGTCTACGCAGACAAGCACCGCCAGAGCTTTGCCCCAATCAACATCATTCACCACGTGGAGATGTTTCTTTTTTTTTTTATGGTGCTTACGGTAATGGACCGTCACTGCTTCTTTCTAATTATCATCCTCTCTTTCATTGTTCCTCGTTTTCATGAGGGGGATATGGAGCATTGTCATGGGATTCTGAATGCACGAGTCTGGATTCTGACGGTTTTTGCCCCGGATTCGTCCCATGCTTCTCTCTAGGTTGCGTGTGGAGGCTGCCACACACTGGTGCTGGTCGTCCCGGGCGCTGGTCACGATGCTGGCGTGCCACACGGCACGGGTGCAGCTGGCGACGGAGCACCCGCCCGTCTCAAGCCTCGTCAACGAAAGGTGCACTATTTTCTTCTCTTCTTTATTTTACAAATAACTAAGTAGTTTCAAATAATACGCTATTCAATATTCGCTTTGAGACGAATTGCAATATTCATGGCTTTTCGCAGTGTCGATCACGGCAGGTCAGCCCCGTCGAGCGTGCTTCTTGCCGAGCACCCGTGCACTGCTAAGAAGCGACAACCGCGGAGCTCACTTCGCAGGTGTTGCTTGTCCGTAGTGTATTGGTGCTCGGTGAGAAGCACACCAAACGAAGCTAACTAGCCACAATTAACGCTTCGAAAAGTACAAATGTCGCAGAAGAGCATGCTTGCAAAGTCAGATGGTTATTATGTATGAGTATATTTTAGGCAGGGGTGCCCCGACAACCGGCATTAATCATTCGTGACCGAAGAAGCGATGTTTGCTTATATAGCGAGAGTAGTTACATATCTCCTCGACTAGGTAAAGCCGGACATCTTTCGAGGCTTTAATATTATGTCAAATACGTTGTTTACTTGCTATGTTAATGTAGACATTAGAATTTATAAGGCCACAGTCAATAAATATATTGGAATAGCTTAGCTTAGAGATGGACGAGCGTAAGCTTGGGAACGACCTTCACGAGTTCAGCTGGGTTTTCGTGTAAGCACAGTGCAGTAGTGAATGGCTTAGACAATATATATTTAATTTAAAAATATTCGACCAAAACCACTATTCGCTTTGAACTCGAAATCCACTATTTGCACATGCATACGAAGCACCAAATGTGGCACGATAGGAATGGAAGTGCTGCACCACTTGCGCCCAAGCGCCATTCTTGCCAAGAATTGTGCCATACCTGCGTCAAGGTGGGCCTAAAAAAAGCATAAACAATATTTTATTATTGGTCAGTCCTAATGTGCACAGAAATAGGAGGAAACGAAAATGGTACAAATGTGTATTTGACAGCATTTCTACCTACCACATAGTTTGTTTCATCTTAGGTCGGAGCACTGAAAAAGGCTCAAACACCTACTATACCACAAACGCACATACTGAAAGCACAAGTCTAGGTGTATACGCTGCTGTTTGTTCGTTTAACCGATGAAAGAGCACGTACAGATACCTAGATAACAGATGCCATAATGTCACGCTTTGACTCGGTTTGATTGGTTGTCCAAATTTTCAGACGATGTTGGTGGTGCCAGGAGCTAAGAATCTCGAGGAAACTGTGCAAAATTAGTGGAATGACGGCTACTGTGATAAGACAGGACCATAGTCTTTTACTCCTGATAATATCACTTCATTATAATGTCTGCCACATGACTCCATGCTGTGGTTACAGTGTACCGTGGTACTTGCGCCGCTCACATCAACCTTCACGGCATCACACCAGCGCTTGTATGTCAAGCTTCACCGCTTTGCACCGGAGTGCTAGGAGCAGCGGCTGACATGAGAGGACGCATGGGTTAGCGTGATTGGCTCAGATTGTGCTCAGTATTAATGCATGTCGACCTTCTGCGGTCTTGACTGTAGATTGACCACTAATCCTTAAAAACTGTGCCATAAAAAGAAAAAAAGAGGCCGCATCTCTACGTGGTGAATGATGTTGATTGGGGCGAAGCTCTGGTGTTGCTGATGATACTGATTTTATTGTTCATAGTGCTGATGGTGCTGATTTTTTTTTTATTGCTCATAGGCAGTGCTGAGTTCCAGGTTGCGTTTCGACCACATTACTACTGCTTTATGGTCGGTGAAATGCAGAGCCAGTGGTTCTTCTAGCGCATCAGCTTGGATCCATTAGAAGCCGTGGGAATGCATCTCCACCGCTTTAGTCAACGATCCATGTCAGAACGAGAATGTGTGGTATGGATCGTGGTCATATATGCAGTTGAGCATTTGACCGCTGCACCCTCTCATCTATAAACGTTGAGCCAATGCATGCAAAGTTTCACACGATTATATACGCATTTGACCGCAGCGCCCTCTCCTGTATAAACGTTGAGCGGCTACATGCAACATTGGAGTGTAGCGTAGTGGTTAAGACGTCTACCTCGTAAGCAAGCAGTCCTGAGTTCGAACCCCCGTGCGGGCATACATTCTTGTTTTTTTTTTTAAATGGGCCGATCCAGGAGGCCGTGCAATCGATGTGAGCACGGACGCCGGACAGATGGACAAGGCTAGACCCTCAGGAGCTTCGCCCCTAAAAAACAAAAAGACTTTTAGCTTTTTTTATTGTGGTGAAGAAGGAAGACCAGGTACTATGGTGGGAATGAAGTAATGGCCGGTTGCTGAGTTGAAAGGCTGGAAAAAGTGCCGCCACCTATGAGCAACAGCGGCAAACAGACAACCGGCATGCCGGTTGTCTGGTTGCCGCCATCGCTTATAGATGGCGGTAGCTGTCCAGAGTGTTTTGTCTACATTTATTTGCTGGTGGACACGATCCTGGGGAAACTAGCCCTTAAGGGGGGACACTACCTGGGAACATCAGCTTTTGAATTGCTCACTCAATCGGTCTGGTATTTTCAGGTGGTGTTTGTAGCCATATAGAAGAAGGGCATGTAAAGCTTCAGCACTGTGAACCAATTTCATACCTTCAGAACGAAGTAAAGCATAGCTTTGAATGGAAGCTGCTCAATAAATCTGGTGTTAAGAAATGGTGTTGATAACCATATATATTTCTGGTGGAATGCATACTGGAATGCCTGTTGCTGGTTACTATGACAAGAAATTTCAGGAAATATGCAGTGTCAGGTTAAAAAAGCATGAAAAAAAATTTTTTTTTAAACATTTACCGAGTATTGCAAATTACAATTTTTCATAAAGGAACATGAAAATGCAAAATATAAGTTCATAGTAACCGGTTCCATGAAATTTCAGTATATAAACCGCAAATATTAAGTCTCGATAGTTTCATACTGAAACAATAATTTTATTAAGCTGGGATTTATGCCAAAAAGTGTATTGGAGAAAAACTCATTAAAAGTGCTCAAACCTTTACTTTTTCTGTAACATTGGTGAACTGAAAGTAGTTTATAAAAAAAAAATAACTATGCACTGTATCCAAATAAAACTTTCTGGGAATACTCTCTAGATGTTGGTGGATGTAAATAGGGCATTTTTCAAAACCAACTTTTTTGCAGAATTGTTTTTTTTTCTTTTCTGGGTAGTGTCCCCCCTTAGCAACTCCACTGTAAAGAAATCCAGGTTTATATTTGAATAAGTATGTTAGTCAAAATAGTTCCCATGCAGCAGTCAATCGGAAAGACCATGAACTTTGACTCAACTCTGGTTCGAACGCCGCTAAAGCGCAGTTCACTTTTAAAGCACAAATGTAGGTGTTCATATTACTTGGGGGTGGTTGGTTTTGCAGTTTATAAAATTAGAATCTTGGGCTAGGTGTTTATAAACCTTGAGCGATGTATGTTTAATGATACAGGTTTAAGCAGATATGTTTATTTTCGCTGGCTTCTTACAGAAATTATATTTACAAGCTAAATTAACTATTGAGTGTAAAAGAGGGTGGGGGAGGGAGGCTTTATTTCAACTGAAGTGTTGTGCTATGGTTCCTCTTTCGACCTTTCTTTATTTTAAACCACTGTAAATGGAACTTACTTTGACCTGAGCCTTATTTCTATAAAGATGGTTCTGTGTTATTTTTTCTGTCGAATCTAATCTTACTACAAAAGATAATAAATCATATGCTTCAGTATCAAAGGGGAACCCTCGATCATTGTCAGATATGAACTCATTTAGAGATGCAATCACATTTTCATTTTCAAGTAATTTGATAAGATGTTGGTGTCTGCTTCAAAAACATCAATGGCTGCTCCAAACCAATCATTTGCCTGCTACAACACTTGCCACAAAAGGTTCAATGCTGCTTCTATCACTGCATTCAGTTTGACCAAGCCAAACAAAATGTTTATGCCCCGGATACTTTGGGCAGAAGGAGAGCTTGTTTGGGTAAACGGTACATGACAATGATACCAGAATGTTGTATGCATATTTCTTTTGTCTTTGCTTGGAGAGATAAAATGTTGTCAATGTGATATTGGTCTCTCAATTGATGGCTGCGAGAACGTTTATAGCTGAAATCTGCGTGTAGTCCGAGCTTTGTGTTTTTGGGAGTCTGCTAATGCAACCAGAGGGCTGGCTCCATGTGCGTGTCTATTCCCACTGTGGCACTCAACCTGAAGCAGTTATTTTTTTGCTCTGCCTCGCTTATTTGTGACTTCTGTCGCGTGTGATAGTAACCTCTGTCTCTCTTCTTGCTTCCAGCAAACCACGATGATAGAAAACGATGACCACGACGACGTCGATGGCTGTGAAGAAGGTAACGTCAATACACAACTGTCCCTTAAATTAATTTGGGAGAATGTATTTCGCAGCTTTTCGATGTCAAGTCTTAAAAAGAAATGCAGTTTGGTCGTACCAACAGACTTCCATAGTACATAAAATCTGTTTTGTTCTGCTCCTGCCATGTGGACACGGATCATAGTTTCGTTAGGATTTGTCAATTACCTATCTTAGGGTCAAAGGTCACGGTTAGTACTTGGGGTCAAAGGGTGAATGTGCGTTGTGTAGTTCTCCTTTCATGTGTCACTGGAAATGCAAGACATGAGCCCAAGAAGATATTTTACATTGAAAGACAAAAATGTTTAAATACACGACATGCAGGATTTTCTTTGAATACACAGTAGTCCCTCATTATAACGAAATTGCTTTTTTCGAATTATCCCTTTTATCAAACTTCAACATGGTCCCGACCAAAATGCCTGCATTTTGAACTGGATTATTCCGAGTGCATCGGCGGCCGACCACGCTTATTACGAAGGTCGATGTGACAAAAGCGTGCAAGCCTGCATGGAGGTGCACAGAGACCCTTGAGTTCCCTCCGCCTCCTCCACCTAGGCAAACTGGGAAAATGGCAAATGGATGATAGAGGCGAGAGTGCTCAGAGCCTTAAAGTATTAAGGTGGGCTAGTTGGTTCAACACACTGAAGTTATAAAGCGCAAGGGACAGACACGGACATGAAGTAAACAGGGCAGTGTTATACCCACAACTGGTGTTGTTTTTTTATAGAAAACTAAGGAAGAGAAGAAAGAAGTAATTGAGGTTATATGGAAAACAAAAAGGGACGAAAATAAAAGAAATTAAACAGAAAAATCCTAAAAATGATAACAGGTTTTTTTTTTAATCGATCTCTACATTTGTATTTATCTCTACATTTGATATGATTCTCCTGTTTTTTGAATTTCTTTCTTTTATTTTCGTCCTTTTTGTCTTCCGTATAACCTCTATTACTTCTTCTCTTCCTTAGTTTTCTATTGAAATGCCAGTTGTGAGTATAGCGCTGTCCTGTCTAGTTCATGTCCCTGTCTGTCCCTTGCACTTTATAATTTCAGTGCACAGAACACCGCTTCCAATGCTGATCTACTGACAGGTCTTGGCACTGACGCGACCAGGGAGCAGTATCCATGTTCCGACACTACTTGGAGTGCTTGCTGCCGACGCGGCTTGACTTTCAACGCGGCCCGACTCGTGTCGGTATCAGGTCAAGGAAGCGAAGGAGCCCAGAAGAAATCGTTCGTTCAAAAGCCCCTCATGCGCACACCCACGTGGGCACGCGGGCATGCCTGCGGCACACATTTGTGTCGTATGGGAGCGTTTACCGAAAATCGCTTAGATCTAGGAGGTTGAGAAAAGTGGCCGGCTCGACACTGTCCGCCATTTTCAAGAACACGCAAGACATACTGGACGGGTCCATGAAGAGTTTCTCGTGCATATGAAAGCATTCCCTTGATCCGAAGACAAAAGATTGCCGACCGCTTTGCGCACATCGAACTTTCTCGCGCGCACGCGCATGCTTGCCGAGTTAGCACACGATTTTAGGAGACTACAATCTCTATGGGAGCGTGTGCAAACACTTTGGCAAAGCAACTGAGGACAACTTCGATTCGTTCGTGCTTGTCAACGCGGGCATTCCCATTGTTGGTCCTGCCATGGATACCACAATCGTAGACCTTGTGTGGAGCCAAGGTAAACACGAAGCGACGTCGAGGAGGCACCTCGGGAAACACCGACAAATGCAGAGGCGTGAAACATCCTTCGCCTGCTTCGAAACAAAGTGGGGTGCAGCAACGTTGACAGTGCTCTCGCAATGCCTAAATCAGCTCAAAAAGAATTGACACCTGGATAATTATTGGCAAACTCTCCTTATTTATTTTTTTACCCCTGAGTAAAGCTGCCGAGAGTTGTTTGTAACCAAAGTTCATTTGATTAAATATACGATTAAAGTGTTCTGCAGTGTTCCCGTCCAGCTTCAAGACTGCCGTCGTTGTTTTTCTTGGCTCTCTTGCTTTTATCGAATTACCGATTCTATCAAATTTTTTTGCCATCCCGTTGGCTCCGTTATGACGAGGGAGTACTGTATGAGTGACATTTTGCCATCATACATTTGTTTTTGCTGGGAAGACCGAAAGCAATGAGTTCTTGAAGGATCCGACCAAACTACGAGGTCGACACCCACGTCTCATACTCCATCCCCTTGTGGCACAAAGTGTGAAAAACCTCACTCCCCATAATTTTAAGAGAATTCTTTACTCCAATTATCAAAACGTTTTTTTTTGCAAGGATTGAAAAAGCCGCCATAGTTTTCCCAGTGCTGAAAAAAGAAGAGCAGAACTGGAATAGAGAAAGCAAAGGAACTCTGAAGATTAGTGGATTTAGTTAAAGCCTCCTCACCCTTTCCTGGCAGCGAAGCGTGATAACGCCGAGGAAGCGCATGAAGTTGGGTATTGAGATGTTAACCGCACACGCCGTCTGATCCCCCACAACATTTTCAGACGCACGAGTGACTGCGAGGGTGCTCGGAGAAACCGGCAGGCAGCCTAAGAGAAGGCCTCTGCTCCTGGAGGTCGAGGCCGACACCACCATCCGCCACGTCGACAGCGACGTCAGCGACGACGACACTTCCGAGATGTCTGTGCTGAACAAGGTTTGCGGTGGCTTCACTTTACGACCGTGATTTTGCTCAAGATTTCTGGCGGTTTACGTGCAGCGTGTGCCTTGGATTCGTGTTTGCAGACCCAGATCATAAACCACATTGGATCGAAGGAAATACTGTCGGCGTTGGAACACGAAGAGAGGCCCCTGGCTTTAAAAGGGGTAAGTTGGTCGTAAGGTAGCTGTTCCCGCAAGTGGTAGCGCGTGTTGAAGCTTTTAACATTTTGTGGTGCCTCTTTAATACTTCTGAAATGAGGAAGAGTAAATACCTGAGAAAAACAGTAGAACCTCGGTAATTCGAAGTCGGTCGGACTGCGTAAAATTTGCCAATTAAGCGGATTTGCGAATTATCCAAAAATGAAAAAAAAAAGACTAAAAATTGTGTGCGAACCCTTGAATCTTGAAGGAAACATGTTATTCAGAACGAGTAATCGAAATGAGAGAACATCCCCTGAAGTAGTCGGCGATATGGGACTGCCGCATTCTGTAATAAGCGGCACCGCCCGTCGCATTTTCAAGAAGGCTAACTAGGCGCGACATCTCAGAATCACCGGCGTTACATTCCACAAAACTGCGGACGACATTGAGCGACTGTATAACTTCACCTAGAGCGGGGGCCCGAGGCGACTCATCATTGTCATCAATCTCTGCCATCACACTCAGTGATTTCGCTCTCAAGGTCTGCGTAGCAGGTTTACTCATTCTCTTTCCTGTTTAAGTAGTCGGTGAAACTTACGCCAACCGACTCACCGTCACTGCCCTTAATGCGGGAGCAAAGCTCCTCTCACTCATCGTCAATCTCGGGGAAAATACCGGCACTAGCATTGGCGGTATCCTCCTACTCCACGGCCGGTCGCATGTAAGCGATTTCACGAGCAACGAGACAAATGACGACGACTCGCTTCGCTGTTGCTCGGTCAATCGCGCTACGAGGCAAACTGCATGAAAGCGACGGGAGCAAGCGACCAAGGCGACGAGCAACGCGACGGGCGACAGTGAGAAATCTCCGTCGCTTGTCGCTGACTCTCGCCGATGTCGCCATTGCTCGTCTCGTCGCTCGCAAAATCGCTTACACGCTGTTTAGTAACCACAGCTCCACAGCGGCGCAGCGCCAAGAATACCGATCACTGACACCATAGCTGGCGAAAAGCTCAAGAAAACAAAGGGACTACTACTAAGTGCATGGATCAGGAAACGGATCAGCGAGGACGCGCACCGCCTTTGTTTTTGCTGCCGAATCTGGATGCCAACTGGCGCCACCTAGCAACTAAAAATGGAACTTGGAAGACCAAATTGGCGAATTAACCGGGGAGGCACACTCGGAGCACTCAGATTATCCGGTCATATTTTTATGAGAAGCCACGGGACCGTGGAAATTCTGCGAATTATCCGAGGTTCCGAATAAACCAAGATTGAATTATCGAGGTTCTACTCTAATGCAAAAATGTGATGTTCTGGGTGACATTTTAAGAAGACAAATGTTATAACAAAAGTTTATTCTTAAAAACCTTTTTTATTTTTATTTTTTGTGTGTGGAGGCGAATTGAGGTACAGGGAGCTGTTCACAGGAATATGCCAATCGGCATGTGTCGTCCTGTCCCTCCCTGTGTATATCTGCTTTCAAATTAGCTATTACCAACATGCTTTTTCTAAAATGTGCTTTTTTTTTTTCAATTCTGTGAACAAGTACATTTCAATTTTTTTTTTTTTCCAAATAATTTGTCACATTTTAGGAGGCCCCCAAGCCGGCTCATAAGGCGCTTCAAAATGGCGACAAGGGAAAGCTCAATGGACCTAAAGAAGAGCCTGCTGTAGTAAGAATATTTTTAAATGTATTGTCAAATCAATTATGTAGCCACCTGTGACTGTAATGACATGCAGAAATCAGTAGCTGTATGGAAATTTAAAATTTGCTTCGCAGCTGTTATGTGCCTTTTTAGAATACAAGAATTTTCTGACCCGATGCAGAATCTAAACATGGTTAGCATGCCCTGTTTATGCGTCACTCAGTCAAGGCAAGGTATGTGTAAATACCAACCTGCAATGCTCTTCAGTGTTGCTGAAAATCCTTCACCTTCTGTCTTTGTGTTAAATGGGGGGTGGACAAAGCCTTTATATGAATGTTGGGGGACAAGATGATTTGCAATGAGCTTGATATAGAAATTGAACATTCACTCCATGAATGTTCAAAGCGGCACTCGCATTCTTGTAGTCCATCATTTCTTAATAAGCAACCTTTGCATCGCCATGCACAATTTACGATAAGATATTTATGATAAGATTTATGACAATTTATAATAATGAAAGGATGCCTGCAAATGAGTTATAAATTTATCGAGCTAATTTCAGTATGGTACCTTGTTTCGGACTATTGTACTGAGGAATGTGTGCAGAAAGCATCCCTCGCTGAGTACCATCAAAGGTAGTTTTCTCAGAATACAGCGTTATCCGACCGTCCACTTCTACAACGCATTCACGTCGAAGTTTTCATATCTTTACGAGGCTTACTGTTTTAAAATATAGATCCATTCGCTACAAATTACGACCGACGTAACAAGTGTCACTACATCAGAGCCGACCTTGCATTGTTTCCTGCCGTCTTTTGTTTATCTCTGTCGAGCTAATGTCTTAAGTTGTCAACTCTCTGGCTCTGTAAGTGGACGTTGCCTCAGTAGAGTGGAAGCTGTATAGCAAAGACAGATACATTACAGATATGGATATAATAATGAAGCGAAGTTGAAGTACACTGGCATTTTAGGTACTGTATATTACTAATGACGTTGCATACTGATGTAGTGAAAATGTTTTCCTGAGTTTGGCAGAAGTAATGCAGGCTTTCGGGGGTTCTCCCTTTCCTTAGCTGAAGGCCTCCGTTTCGGAGACACCGAAGAAAATAGTAACCGCCGCCGTGGCCACCGTCACGACGTCCGACCACAAGACAGACAGCGAGGCGGACGAGAGGCACGAAAAGGTCAGGTGGCTGCCGGCATACAAGGACTCGCCCAAGCACCGCAAGGAGCTCGAGAAGGCCGCCAAGAAGGAAAAGGAGAAAGGTGGGACCTCTCTGCCGCAAGTCAGCAATGACTTAGAGGATGTTGCATCCTAATTGCACATTGTTTATTTGATTGACGCATTTATTTTTTATTTCTTTCTTATTTGTTTATGAAATCTCGCATTGTTGATTTTTTTTCGTCAAGCTGTTAAAAGGCTGCTTAATTTAAAGGAGCGATGCAACAATATTTGTACCTTGCGCAAATACCGCTTAAAACGGATCCCTAACGTTAATGACCTATGAAACACGCGTTCGTTTTTCACCCCATGCAATAGAAGTCCCAGAAAAAAATCAAAGAAAAACGAGCAGCGTTTACCCCCTCAACTAGCAGCCAGAACAAGCGGCCACGTGATCTGGAGCCGATTATATGCCACCAGTGTTGATCATAGCCATGCGCTGGGGTGGGCAAAGCGCAGGACACACGCTGAGTTCCAGACATTGTTATGGCTCGGCTGTTGTCGTCATTGCAGCGATTGGACACGGGTCACTACCCGAATGCTTCTCGAGCTAGCAATTATCACGAGCCCAAGTCGAGATATCGAGGTTCATCCACGCTGTCCGCAAAGCCTAACAGTTCAGGAGGCTGACAGAACCATGAACAGACTGAGCTCTAAGAACGGATTTGAGGTCATGAATGTGAACAGGGAGGTATACTACCACAAGTGTCCGATCTCCCCGTTCAACTGAGATGGCATCCGCTATGGGGAAGTGACAGGAATGCGGGTGGGGCATACAATGGCTTTTTTTAGGAGCCGGCAGAGCCTGCCAGTAGCTGAGGTTTCAAATGCAAATATTGAGGAACCACCCTACTTGGCAGGTTATTTTTGGGTGGGATGCAATCGATGTGAAGGGAAATGGAAAGGAGGCGGATTGGGGGTGTAGTGAAAGGGCAGGGCTGGAAAAGGGTGAGGGAAGGCTGCAAAGCACAGATGGGGTTAAAAGGTAATGTCGGAGGTTTAGACACGCTCATAGGATTTGTATATCTGAAAACAGGAACTGATTCAAGAAAGGAAAATGCACAGCACTTGACGTGCATTTCAAAAGATATTGGGGAAATTGACCCTCATCGGGAAATAATTATCTTGGGAGGCATGAATGCACACTCAGTAGACTTCGATGGATATTCAGATTTTACAGGGAGGATGCTACAAGAATTCTGCAATCTTGATGAAGTGCTTATTTCTCAATGTAGCGAAGTACTTTTATGCCGCAGTTTAGATTTAACGAAGTCTTTGAAAATCGCACATACACATCAACGGCCTACGCGAAAAATAAAGAAAAAAAATTTAACAGAAACAAATTTTATTGTCGAAAACTAAGCATAAAAATGAGCACTCATTATGTTTTTCACAAAATAAAAGTACAGACCAATGGTGGTGGTGTTGATGATGAGTAGCCTCGTAGCCTCTGCCTCTCATGGAAAAAAGAAGTCCGCCATTACATGCACCTACGCGGAATGAACTAGAGCTCTTGCACATCTGCAACAAAAATTGTTTTGTGCCTCGAGTGTTGTGCTGGAAGTAGTTGTGTTCTTCTTGGAACAGTGAGTGGTACGCCCCGGAAAAGGAAAGTTCTGTCGCGGCGAAAAGAAAGACTATTACCGAGAAGTATGAAATTTTGCAGAATTTGCTTTTGACGATTATGAAGTTGAAAGACAGCATTATGGCCACCATAAGTGCTAGTGGTTGCTTTCCCGACTGCACGATCTCCTGCGGTGCTAGTCACTGCTCCCATAACCGTGCAAAATGAGGTTCGATGAACAGAATTCTTCTATTACCGCCACATTTTGTAATGGAATCTGATTTGTAGATGCAAGATGTGAGGCAATTGGAGGGTTTTGGGAGGAGCCTGGAAGGCCAATTGCAATGCTAAAAAACAAAAACCTCGGGCCAACGAAATTTGCGATTTAACAAAATTTTTTGCTCAAAAAACAGTTCCATTATATCAAGGTACAACTGTAACAGAGTAGGACGCATGGGAATAGATGAGGAAGGCACGAAGAGCTTAGGAAGGGATCATAAGCGACTTAAAATAAAGTTTGGTACAGCAGAACCAGACACACAAATTCTTAACCGAGTAAGTATATTGACCCTACATGAGGCCCAACTACAGGAAGTATCAGAATGAATTGAGACTATAGCATCCAGACAACTGGAGAGAGAATGGACATATGACGATTTAGAAAACACTTTTAAAACAAAGTTAGAGAAGTTCAAACTCAAAGAGGAAGAAGAAGAAAACACACACCATAAAGCTGGTCAGACAGTGAAGTTATGGTGGCCATAGCAAGGCAACAAAGAGGCCTCAAGGGAACACCGTTGAGGTGGCATCGAAATGGAATACAGTAGGCTCGCGATAATTCAAACTCGGATATTTCGTACTTCCAGTTAATTCAGACAGATCTGAAAATTTTGGTTGTCCCGCTATGTTTTTAATGTATTTATTTATAAGCCGCTTAATTCGAACGGCGTTTTCGCTTAATTCATACTTTTTTGTTCTCGCGGCCCCGTTGAGTGCGCTTCTTTCCGAGCACCGGTGCACCGCAGAGAAGCAATACCCGCGGAGCTTGTTTTCGCGAGTGTTGCTTCTCCGCAGTGCACCGGTGCTCGGAAAGAAGCGCACTCAACGGGGCTCAAGCAGGCACACATTAGCGGAAAACGGCATTAACATTATGTGCTTCAAGACTAGCAATGATGACCAAGACGACATCGAGGATGAGGAACAGCTCACTGGCATCATGCTTTCTGGCCTTGAAACACATAATGTGAACACCGAGCTGGCGGAATATGCTAGTCTTGACGACGATGTGTGTGTTTGTCGTGATGACTCATTAGTGGGCATAAGGAAGTAATGCCAGCACAGTGCAGCAGTAAGAGTGAAGATGATGATGAAGAAAGGGATGACCCACTACCAACTGTCACAGCCGCAAAGGTCTTTGAGCACATCGCTCAGCTCCGGAAGTTTCTGTCTGCAAAGGAAGAGTCCCGTAAAGAGCTACTTGCGTTGGCTGGTATTGAAAATTTGTTTTGAGATCTCGTGTACTGACTAAACAGTCCGCAATCGACAACTTTTTTGTTGGATGAATAAACTTAACATCACAGTTCTTTCACCAATGTGTTATGCCTGTTCTTGCTTATAATTAGGCCTATGTAGAGGAAACTGGCAAAAATCTGCTTTGTATGCATAGCTATCCATGTAACAAATCATAATGTTGTCTAGTATCATATTTATATGAATTTCTGATAATTCAAACTTCTGGTAATTCAAACTAAAATCTGTGACTTCCTGGAGTTTGAATTAATGAGAGTCTACTGTACATTCTAGGAAAGAAAAAGAGGCATTTGCTCTACTCTAGGCCAAGATTGGTAGAGATGGAGTGCAGTGGATGATGAAGGTAAATCAAAAAGGAATGCAGTAAAAAGGTTCTGGGAGCACATCAGTTTACAAGGGAGAAAAACAGAAGGGTTCCATCAATCATTGACCACATAGAGAGAAGCGTAGAGGGTGAGGAGGCAAGGGAATTTAGGAGACGCACAATTGAGGCAACATTTGCAGAACTTGAACCAAACGAGATTGGGCAGAACACAAACAGCAACACGGCACAAGACGTGAACGCTAACGAGACAACTCTGTCTCCCTCTCTCTCTTTCTCCCTCTCTCTCTGGCATGCACTTTGTTTTCGTTGTCGTCGTGGCTGTTGGTGTCTACAAGCCAAACATTTCCTAGTACGAGTATCAGTGTTGTTTACAAGCTGTGTAGACTTCTGCACTGCTTTGTTGCATCTATGCCAAGCCTGAAAAGGGTCCCCCATTGTGAATAAGAAGCTCCTCCAGATCGAAACATTTGAGTATTCTTGTCCTAAGAGATTCTACTGCAAGATAATATCTTTCTTTCTAGAATTATACAACAACAGTTATCAAGGAACCAACATGTTCCACTCAGTTTACCAAATGCCAGCATTAACTGCTCGGCTCCTCCAGTCTGAGCATGTTCCAAACTTTTGGTGGACAAAGTTTTGAAATAATCTATTCTTGTGGAAATTCCCCAAATTTTGCTTTCTTTCTGTCGCTGGCAATGTCTAATCTTACAGTCAGTGACAGGCGAAGAACGAAGTGAAAGCTCTTCCCTTCCTCTTTCCACTTTAGCAGAATGAACGTGTTCACTCTGCTGAAGTGGTAAGAGATGGAAGGAGCTTCCACTTCGTTCTTGACCTGTCACCAGCTATAGGTTCATTTTGTGGCTTGTCATTCACTTTACTTTGTTCCTTCCCTAGGCACCCCCACCAAGCGATTTGGAAAGAAGAAAAAAGATGGTGAACAAGAGAAAGACGGTGCAAAAGGTAAGCCTTCAACCAGTACCAAGCTGTAAAATTATTTTTAGCATTAAAACCTTTTGCCTATCCTTTTCCCCACTCTGGCCGAGGGGCAAGAAAATGTGTGTCTGCTGCAAGATCTTTGGGGGGGTTGGCAAGGCAATCAAGTGAGACTTGGAGAGTCGTGAAACAGAAAACTTCACTCAAAAGCAGAAGTGTCGGCCCATGACATACCAAATAAGCTTGTTTTGAAGTTATTTTTCGTTAAAAGCATGGTTTTGATATATTTGTTTGACTTGCTCTGAATAGCACAGTGATGTCTCATTAGTATGGACATATGCGTTCTCCAAAAACATTGTCCATTATGCGAGTTGTCCAGGATAATGAGGCAAAATGAGGCAGTTCATCCCCAAAAAATGTTGACTATATGTTTAGTCATGTGCAAATAGTGGATTTTGAGTTTGAAGCGAATTTAAAGCAAATAGTGGTTTTGGCCGAATATATTCAAATTGAATATTGAATAGTTTCTCCAAGCCTTTCACTGCTGTTGCACCCTCCTTAAACGTAAACCCAGTGAACCTCGTGAAGGCTCCCAATCTTCCACTTGTTCATTTAAAAGCTAATTTTAATCGAACTACCATATTTACTTGCATACTACACACTTTTTTTTTTTTAAATTGACACATCTTTTTGGGGATGCATTCATTATCCAGGGTAAAATTTTGCATTTACACTCTTTATACAAATGTCATATTAGGTGCCAATATGACACGGCAAGTTACTGTGGCACGTCTCCACTGATGGAGGCGCACCCACGGTTGGTCGGGGGCACGCCACAATAACTATACTTTATAAATTGCGAACCTTTTTAGGGAGCTTTTTGCGTGCCCTTTGCCGTAGGAAAAACTCCCTACGAAGCTCACTCAGCACGGAGAGCAACGCGACCATTCTTTGGTCTAACCACTTTCACAATTTCACTGTCGGAAAGCGGACCACAGACGATGGCGTGTTTGTTGCCATGAAAGCATCAGTTAGGCAAAGAATGTCCGGGGCTGAGCAATTCTTCGACCTAAGCTTCGTCAAGTGTGCGCGCCGCTCGGTTTCATGGTTGATCACTTCTGCAACTACAGTAAAACCTTGTTAAAACAAAGTTGAAGGAGCGGTCGTAATTATTTCGTTATAACCATTAGTTTGTTATAGCCAATGTCAATTTCTTCCCACTATTAGCAAGCAAGGGGAATTATGATTACTTTATTATATCCATTAGTTTGTTATATCCCATTTTGTTATAACGAGGTTTTACTGTACGCACTTGCAGCCTATACGAGAGCGGCTTGGCTTGACTTGGCCTGACCGCTTGCCAGCAAAAGAAAATTTGCTTGGTGGGCCTGGTGGCTAGCTAAGTTGGATGCAATTTGAGACTCGCGGAGTCGAAAAATTGAGGTGCATTCATAAGGCGAGGGAAAAAGAAAGGTCTAAATATTGGTACTCGTTGTGGGGGGTGCGTTCATTATGCGAGTAAATACTGTATACTAATGGACTGTGACCTTAGAAAGTGATGCCTTGGCTGATGGCGAGTAAACGACAGATTTGACATAAAATTGATTCTATAGAGATACCCAGGTATACCCAATTTAGTAAATTTGCAAATCTTGCTATGTGCAAACATTCCTTTCATTTCAAAATTGAAAAAAAAAAAAAAAAAATCACAAATGATGAATGCAGATTGTTAGGCATTTCTGCCTAACAAATAACAGCCAGAGTTTAATTCTAAAAATTTTACTGCTATGGGGATATTAATATACAGTTTCTGTTTCTTTTCAAATACACCAGGCGCGCACGTGCACCATCCCGCTTTTAAAGCGTGCTTTTCTCTCAAGCATGCTATAGATTTTTTTGCTAAATTAGCGAGCTCAAGGTGAGTGTGCAAGTGTAGTTACACGCATTGCACGTACTGCCTTCTGCAGCAGTAACTGTTTTAGAGTAAAACTCCGAAACAAACGGCACTTTGCACGCACATTCATCATCTTAATTTGGTTGTTTACTTCACATTATTATACAGATAAGGCGAATGCATGCAGCATGTGTACCATCGTTACCAGCCTTCTTTTTGATGCTTGGGTAATCTAGCAAAAGGGTCTATTGCAGTATTCATAGTTTTCATAGTGTTGATTGCAGGGTCCCCGTTGAGTGGGCTTCATACCGAGCACCAGTGCATTGCGGAGAAGCAACACCTGCAGAGCTTGCTTCTGTGGGTGTTGCTTGTCTGCAGTGCACCGGTGCTCGGTAAGAAGTGCGCTCAATGGGCTAGCCCTCCACAATCAACACTTGGAAAAATATGAATATTTCAGATCTTCTCGAAGCAAATATAGAATAGTGCATTAATCTAAACTACTGTTTGAAATTTTGAATATTTGCACAGCACTAATATGTATAGCAGGGTATCCATGTTAGCAGGGCCCATATCAATGAGACATCACTGTACTGTTTATAGGGTGTATATTAACAAAAAAAGGACAACTGGCCAAATCCTATAAATATAAGGACCATGGGTGATTCCACATCAGCTTGTGCAATGGTGGTCCGGGTCATATTTTTGATATTTTTGTTAAAATTATGTATGAAAGCCATGTTTGTGGGAGGAACATTGAGCCATATATGAACGCCGTAACATTTTTTTTCGCTGAGATATAAAATAGAGAAGCTCGAGGCGTGGAAATTGAGAAGTTTTCACGATGCTACTTTGCACAGTCATCATTTTCTCATCGAAGCTTTCACAGCACCATATTTTTTTTAATACATTTTGCGGAAGATATACAACACATACACAAAAAATTAGAAATATCAATAAAATATTTTTATGCAAACAAAATTATCAAACATGACATAAAAACGCATTCTAGAGACATATTCACAATTTTTTTTTGCAAATAAACCATCTTTCATAATACTTCACAAAACATATCAAAATATGCTTCTTTAAATATTAATTACGAATATATAAATCTTGTTATTAACACAGAAATGCAGCTAATTTCTCAAAATATGGCAAGATTGGGCGTCAGTATCTAAAAAACTCAATCTTTTATTTTTTTTTAAACTCCCCTTGGCACTTTGCAGTGACTTGAACTAACTTGTGATGGCAGAACATTGAGTAACATGTGACCTCCAAACGGAAAAAACTACGACAAACCTTCACTCGGAGCGAGCCAAGACGTCTTCGTCATAGCGGCTTTGCCGCACAGCACCAAAAATTTTGGTCTTGTTGTCGTTGATCATGGCTTTGGTGACGTCCTTTTTGTTGGGGCTTTGAACAGTGCATGCGAGATTGTCGCGTGTGTAGTACTCAAGTGCAACCCTCATGTCTTCGGCATTCGCCTTTTTCTCCCATGTAGGGATCAGGGGTTGCCGATACACCACATTTACGCTTCAGTTTTATTGTTTGGGCAGTCATGAAGGCAGTCCCTTCCGGCACCAGACACAATATTTCTTTCTTCGATATGCTTGGTGGCAGAAGCGTGTACAATCGCTTGCATTCCTAGTGGGAAGTGCATGCCTTCGGCGTTCGTGGAACACGTCAAACCACTCCGTGCAGTGCTCACAACTGTCTTCGCCGGTTTTCATGTCATAAACGCTTGACAGCTTTCTTCTAATCGAAGAACTCACTTGAGCTTGTTTTTTCTTCAAATATGCTTCGCGGCTTTTTTTTTTTTTAATGGTTTTACGTGGTTTCAATGGGGTTACCTGCGGACTAGCAGCACACAAGTCTTGACTCACTTCAGCCAGAATTTCATCAGAGTCCTGGAAAGAAGAGTTTGATGTACTCACGTTGTGAGCAGGAGCAGTCTCATTCTTGACGTATTTCTAGCAATGCTGGCATAAAAGGTCAGGTTCGTTCACTGTTCGTGGAGCCAGTAGCTTTTCCTACCGCACTTTGTTGAGTGCGGTTGGAAAAGCCGGATATATTCATGGCCGATTGCGCAACTGTGAGTTTTAAGCTTATGTATGCATAGTTAGCGAATTTGCATAGTGGGGATGTTTTGTTTTTGTGAATTGTAAGCTATTTAATGGTATTCCAGCTCAAAGTCCCTTTTCGCATCAGTTATACTCACTCACCCCTTTTGAAAAATATATTTTGAAAAATATAAAATACACGCCATAACTAACGCTCGAAATGTTTGGTGCTGTGCGGCAAAGCCGCTATGACGAAGACGTTGGTCCGCTCCGAGTGAAGGTTTGTCGTAGCTTTTCTCGTTCGGAGGCCATATGTTACTCAATGTTTTGCCATCACAAGCTAGTTCAAGTCACAGCAAAGTGCTAAGGGGAGTTTTAAAAAAAATAAAAGATAGAGTTTTTTAAACATTGACGCCCAATCTTGACACATTTGGAAAAATCAGCAGCATTTCCACATTAATAACAAAAAGACAATTAAGGGTGGGCATATGATTTTTATATACCTAGTCGTAAAGAATATTTAAGGATACACATTTTTATATGTTTTGTGAAGTATTTTGAAAAATTGTTTATTTGCAAAAATAAAAAAATTGTGAATGTCTCTAAAACACGTTTTTATGCCATGTTTGATTTTTTTTTTGTTTGCATAGAAATATTTTAATAATATTTCTAAGTTTTTGCGTATGTGTTGTATATATTTTGTAAAATGTATTAAAAAAGTTATGATGACGTGAAAGCTTTTATATCTTAGAGAAAAAAATAGGTTACGGCGTTCATATGTGGCTCAATGTTCCTCCCAAGAGCATGGCTTTCAAATATATTTTTAACAAAAAGATCTAAGTTATGACCCGGACCATCATTGCATGAACTGACGTGGAATCACTCCCCTTTGTTTTGAGGCTTGCTCAGCTCTTTTTCAGGGGTGACTGTGGTGATGGCTATCGAGGAGCAGCATTTTTCAGTCTTCTTTATTTACTGTTTTCCCAACCAGAGAGATTTCTTTCAAATGTTTACTTTCAAGTGTATATCAGCATGCTTAAAGTAATGTGAGCTCTCTGGCAGATGCATCTTGGTAGTATGTGCTGTAACAGTTTCGGTTTTCTGCTCTCATAGGTGACGCAAAAGAAGACGAAACAGATGATGCCAAGAAAGACTCCAAGGTATTTGCTCGCTTCCACTTTGTGTAAAGAGGGGACGGACAGTATGTGTAGTACCATAGCCTCCTCTATACTAACAAGGCCTGGCAGATAGCCATGAGACGCGGCAGCCGAAAATGAAAAGGTAGAGCGGCAAACAACGGACGAGAGAAGAGGCATGTAACAGGCGCCCCGCTGCGGTGAGACGCCTATACACACTTCTCACGAGCGATAAAATGTCTGCTCGTGCTCCTCGCATTCCTGGCGCTACCACTCCTTTTTTTGTCGCGTTTAAAAACCATGTTCCGGATCCTCGCCGCTGCAAAAGCTGTGCGCTGACCTCCAGGTTCCCCAAGAAATGCTCTTTGCTAGCAGATCCTCGCGTTCCAAATCTGTGACCGGGCACTCTATGGCTCCGTCGTTGAACTGCCAGGCTTTGTGAGTGTAAGGGAGGCTATGGTAGTAGTACCTTCCATTAAACTCGATCAAGCGGGAAAAGAGTTGGGCATAACATTTTTCATTGATGTCTATTGTATTATTGTATCGGCTCAATCAGTTTCTGAACCATTTAAAAAACAAGGCCTCTGAATCTGTGTTTTCATAGTTCATGGGCACAGCCACTCGTCGCAGTTTATGGAACAACAGTCAAGCAAAATACAGTGCCTCAATCAGGCACGTAGCCAGGATTTTGATTCAGGGAGGGGCCCGCCCGTGACAATGCTGTAGGAGGGGGAGCGGGGAGAGGAGGCCCCAGCAAAATGGAAGATTACGGGAGGCGCCTGGGCCCCGTGGCACTCCCCCTCACCTCCCCTCGGGATACGTGCCTGGCCTCAACAACATTCTCACATGAACATGCCATCTTGTCACAGCCTGGTGGGGTATCAGTGGCCAAGTGGGCTAGCACACACCAGCTCCGACTATGTGGAGTGAAAGCTCGCGCTGCACACCCCGGGGATCCTGGGTTCAATCCCCACCCCTGCCTGTTTCGATCTGGATGAGCATCGTACCGGCGTGCGGTCGTGTATCACTACTATGTGGTGCACATTAAGAGACTCCAGGCTAGCGGTTGTACTGCACTGGCTAAATTGCTCATCTACAGCGAGCGACTCGTCACAACTTTGAAATGGCTGACTAACTACACGCTGTATAAATATCCACACAACCCCCAATTATTCACAGCCTGGCCTTTCACTTCCTTGGAAGCTGTTGCAGGTCGCATTTTCGGGAACAAATATTTACTTAGACTCATGATCTGCCAGGCTTATTCCGTTGGCCGTGATGATTGGCTTATTACAGTGCAATCTCCTTATAACGATACCACATATAACAATATACCGCTTGTAGTGATCAGTTTATAGAGATTCGAGACTAGAAACAATCAGTTTCCAGTCCAGATACAACGATAACTGGGTGATGATGACATTTTCAGATTTTCTCATTGTTGTTATACAGTCGAATCTCGTTAATTCGAACTTGAGGGAGATCGAAAATTTGTTTGAATAAAGCAAAGTTTGAATTACCGGGAGTTTCGTCCCATAGAATGGGACCTGCATCTTACCGTATTTACTCGAGTAATAGCTGCACTGTTTATGAAGAAAACCTGAGGGTTTGCTTTTCCGCGGAGCTCGCAGATTGCCAATCACCACAATCGACAGCATGATTTTGGCTGTTTATAGGACACATAATGTCTTCGTGCGAAGATACCATCTGTGAAGATTGCATTTGTATGGAGAATCGGGTTCTCGATCTGGTTGCTATGTTATTTATGCGCAACGCAATGATTGGCTGTATATGTTCTGTGAGAAAATAGACACAAGGGCCTTATTCATAAATAGTGCGGCTATTACTTAAGTAAATACGGTAGTTTAAATTATCCGCAAGTTTGAATTAAGAGAGTTTAAATTGACGAGATTCAACTGTAAGTGGATTGCACTGTATAGCAGAGCCTCTTTGATATTTTCAAGAAACTGTGGTATGATGGTATAGTATATTCTGCAAGGATTTTTAGGAGCCAATAGATGCTACAGAAAGCAACACACATGCAGCAATTTATTTCACATGGACTCTGAAATTAGGGGGTTATCATTTTAACAAAAGAATGTTGACCTTTAAGAGTGAGCTACGTTTCCAAGCCCATCAAGCTCGCCCAGTCGCTCCCCCCCCCCCCACCATTAGGCGCTGCTCCTAGCAGGCCGGTACAAAGCGTTAAAGCTCAACACACCCATCGGTGCAGCGCAGTGAAGCTTGACGGATGCTTGCCGTCCATGATTACAAACTTTCAACTAAGCTGAAACGGAACTAAGCAGATTCAGGGGGACCAAGCAAAACAGATGCGTACGCTTACGCCTGTTGAAAAAAAGAGGTAGAAAGATCCCTTTCAAGCCAGTCATGCTTACCCGAGCAGGAGGCAATTTTTGGAACTTCAGAACTGGGAAATCAAACAAAACGAACAGGAGTTTGATCGACACATCAGTACAAGAGTTCAACGGGACCAGCGTTCACAAACGTGGCAGCCGAGGAAACGTTCATTAACGAAGTTCTGCCTACTTGCTATAAGTGAAGTTTGCGGGAAAGAAGACGTAGGGGTAGAGTGATCGATACATCATTTTGGGCGAACTTTGTCGACTTGCCTTTCGAGCCTACCCTTAAGTAATGGCGGATTTGCTCTATTCCCATTTCAGTCGTCGACCTGCGTAATCATGTGACCATGTTCGATGGAAACGCCTCCAAGACCTAGGCACTTCTGCGGTTTGTTTTTTTCGTCGGCTTCCCAAGAGTTTTTGCTGCAAATTGCTTTTCGGCCTTGTCAGCCCGACGCCTGTTCCTGGAAACCCGGCTTTTGTTCTTGGCAGCTACGGGCCATGGCACGGAACGTCGATTTCATCACCTAGTGCTTGATGTTCCGTCACATCGTTTCGAGTGTCTCTGCGCGCGTTTGCGCTTCGTTATTGGCAGCTTCGACACAGTCCCGTCCCCTCACTTCAGTTTAGGCAGTTCTGTTGAGAGATTTGTTGACTGTTTGTTAAATGTCTATTTTATCTGCCTCTAAAGTATATATATATATACATATATGTATAAGGTCCAAGTTTACCTCAAAATGCTTTTTTTGTTGTTTTTAGTCTGTTTCATTATTATTATTGCAGCTAGATATGAATGTGTTAACGAGCCTTAGCACCCTAGCATTTATTTATGATACTCAAAAATCGTACTTCTACCTTTCATGTTTTTTGCTTTTTTTTATATGATACCGGTTATTTTTGCAGGTATTGGTATACTGGCTAATGCACACTTTTTCTCCCTCCCCCCCCCCCCTCCCAAAAAGGTTTTAGTTGTACATAAGTAATGTGTTGCTATTGTTGGCACAGATAACCTCTATACCAATATTTTTTTTTTAATAGCTTGTTCTTGTTTTTAGTTGCTTGTAACCCTGTTCCTAAATCTAGCTGGAACATCCAAAACTTCCGTTTGACGTCGTCGAATCTCTGGCGAATGTTCTTCACTGACCAAGTTTTCAAAAAATGTTTTGCTAGGCATATGGAGACGAACACGACAGTACAACCGACCCCAGGCGTGCGACAGACAACTCTTAGAGTAGATTGTTTCTTTGTTGAAGCAGCAAAAGGCCAAGTTTCGCAGGATTTTTCGAGATTGCCTTTGACGAGTCAGTAATTTTGGTTATTTCCATTGCTGCCTGCATCCCGGTTCGTAAACCCCGGTCTTAACCGACGTGCACCCTGCGCAGTCTGCTATGAATGTGCTTGGTTGTGTCATCACAAGGGCCCTGACGGAATGCTTTGAACTGCGACTGTAGCTACACCATATATCTTAATTCAACAAGCGAGGGGTAATTCGCGACAATTCGCAAAGAGCCAGACTTTTTTTTTTTACTACGGTTCTTGAGATGAATGTGAGCATAGTTTGCAAGTAGCTACCTTTGTTATTTTTTTTTTAACAAACATTGGTTACGACGTTCTGATGAATAATCTTACCTTCGTGCAAAGCGTGATTGCACGTTGGACTACTTTGCGAGCCGAGCCTTTGTTTGCAAAGCGAGCCAATGCAGTTGTGAAACGCACTCGATTTCGCTTGTGTAACTTCTAGGAGAAAGGAAGCGCGGGTGACGTAAACGACAGGCCCAGTTTGTACGTCGTTTCTTCCTCTTTGACAAGTGAGCATTGCCTAGTCTCTGCATTTGCAAGCCAGCCGTACACTCCGACGCCAAGTCTTCTTCATGCTGACCTACATACATGCTTTGACAATTGACAGTCTTTAGGTTCGACGGGTTGCAGCGGTGAAAACTGCCAGCAAGACATTAGTAGCAGCCAAGTTCGACGTTGCACTTTGTAGGACGAGTTTTCCGAGCTACCGTAGATTGCTAATGCGCAAGCTTCTCTTGTGGACTGCTTTCACCTATATTTGTACCATCAGTACTATTTTTGTACACGGACATAATTTGAAGACCTCATCTCATGTCAACTGGTGAAGGACCAAACAGCCGAAGACTTCCGCTGCCCCAGATTTTCTCTATTTGCTGCCTGCAGGAGCCCAAATGCGGTAGTGGTTTCTTTAGATCTGAACAAATCTCATACTTAAGGGGCAGCTGCAACTAATTATTACTTTGCTTGTTATGTTTTTATTGGGAAAAGCATGCCAAGAAGGCTGTGTGTGATTTTTGATGCAGCAACTGTAAGCTTGTTGGCTGAAACAGAAGCTAAAAAAAGATCAAATTGCCAAATGATGCCCTGGCAAGACAAAAATAATGTGAAGAAGTTTATAAGAATTAAGTGGCAGATATGACAAGATAAGCAATACCTTCCTTGTCCTATTAAATGGACAGCCACAAGACCGCCACTTAAAGCTTCAAATGATGTCGCTGAGACTTTGACACATGCCTAAAATCAAACTTGACATTTTTTGTTTGTTTCTTATTTTGGTATTTTACAATTATTGACATAAGGGCTCAAGAAGCATCCGGATACATTTTCTGTTGCAGCTGACTATCAAAGTTGAGCCCTAATTTTATTTTCAGGTCTTTGTTTCACTCAGAGTGAGCCGCTCCAATTTGAAAGCCCAGCCAATATTATTGTTTGGCACACTTGCTTCGACAGCAGCTGCTGGATGTTTAGGGCATGCATTGATGCAAAGCTTTAGCACTGCCTCTCTGCTGCATGTTCACAGTTTCTAATAGTCAGCTAAAACATCTAGTTCTATGTCTGCGTAGAATTGCGCATCATCGGTTTCACTCTGGGTGCATAGAACCATTGTGTAGCCGACTTCAACACAAAAAAAAAATGTCGTTCAATTGCAGTGTGTGTGTGTGTGTCTGCACATTCTGTGACATGGAGTATTTTACAAGTGTTCTTTCACAAAGTGACGTGCTTCATTGTTTCCAAGACAACACTGTTGGTGTTCACATTGTTTTTCTTTTTGGTTGTTGTTGAAGGTTTCAACTTTTTCGTAACAGTGGCCTTTGGTGCTGCGATTTTGCCACCTAGTACATATTTAAAAGCAATGCAAAGAAAAAAAAAAAAAGCTAAAAGCCACAAAGACAGGTTTTTTTATTGCCACTAGAGCTATCGCCGGATCTGTATGGTAAACATGCGCCTGCTGCCTTAGAATGCCGTGCCTATCATTGGTGCCTCTTCTCTAAAGCGTCAGTGGAAGTGTGTCGACCGCACTCACTTGTAAAGAAGCAAGCGTGGCTCAAACTTTTTGCCGTATGTTTGTGCGGTGCGCTTTTTTCGGCGTCTTCAAGTTCTAGGACCTTTTGCACTCTCGGTGTCGAGCTTGCGAGATCTGAATGTTCAACGACCGGCCTTTCCGTGCGGAAGAGCCAAAGTGGTGTGTCTGTTGTATGCACAAATTTGGTTGGAAATTTTAAAATGCTATACTGGCTGCCTATGGTATACACCATTTAATGTTGCGAGTTATGTATGGAATAAATATTTTACAAAGGTATGCTCTCTGAAGTATGTGTCTCGAGCAAGGAATATCTAGATAGTAGTGATTGAAAAGGGAGGTTTAGACCATTTATGTAGACCCAATACAACTATGAGTGCTTTCCTAGTTTACAAGGACAATGCAAATCCAATATGAATATTGTGACTGCAAAAATGGTTGGATCCTCCCTAATTGCGGGGTTTTTCACCGATGACCAAGAACAGTTGTCACATCTACGACCACATGACCAGATCACGAGCCGATCGGTCATATGGTCGTCGAAAAGGCACCACACTCCGATGTTGCCTCGAGCTCGCAGCACTTTTTCCCTCTTTGTTTCGGTATCGTGGACAGCCTAACTTTGCCAGAGAACTGCGCAGAGCATAATTTAGTCATTAGAGTTCTTACATCCATGGCACATTTTTATGGAAGGCAACAAATGTGCCAGCCGAGGCAAATATTTCAAAGGATGATCAGCTGAGTTTAGGTCATTATTTCACTAATTATCTCTTTACACTCTACCCAGCATTCACCATGGTGAATAATGTTACCCCAATGGGATTGTTGCTTTAATCTCTACAAAAAGGATAACTTATTAAAGACATTTCTCTAGCTCAAGTGCCGTTTTTTGTCTTCTGTTAAGTATTAAGCCGTTGTTGAAACGTCCTGTATATTTTCCCAATGAGCATGGTAACAATCGTACAACACTGAAACAATGCATGCACCAAACGACTAAGCAATCAATGACATCTACAAAGAGTCAATAGAATGAGGCAAAAGCTGGCCATGTCCTACATTTTCTGTAACGTGTCGGTTGTGGTTTTAAGCTTAGAAAGAAGGATTTGAAAAGGTGAGTCAGTATTTACTATTTTGTCTCTTACCATTACAGTCATATCTGATCAGTATGGACGCTCCGCTATGTAGACAATATTTTCGGGGACGAACTGGGTCGGAATATGCGTTTCTGTCTCAATATGGACAACTCGCATTATGAAAGATTTTTGGGGAGAACGGAGGTGTTCATATTAACAACACAACTGTATTACCAGAACAGTCCCAGGCCTAGGATTACGGAAGACAGAGGTCTGGAGATGCCTGTGAGCTCATTTCTTTTTATTGCTTTCGTCTATAAGATAATTCAGCAATTCTCTAAGAGAAGCAAACTCTGTTCGTCCCTGTGGTTCGTTTTTGGGTATCCGAGGTAATGCCGAACCGACCTTGTACCGAAACTCTTCAAGCTGAAAACAAAAGTAAGTTTCGGGGTATTACTTGGTATTGAGTAAAAGTCTCACTGCAAGCATACTACAAAATGGGGCGGGAATCCGCCCTTTCCCAAATTCCTGGTTCGTGAGTTCTTTGGTATGAAGCTGCATAGGCACGGCACAAGCAAGCGCGAATGTTCCTCCAAGTGACGACGGCTCAACCAACACCACCTAGAATAAACTAGGCCTGCAAACAGCCTCCTTTACCTCCTCGTAACGCTGGCACACTCTAATGGCACCAACTTGACGACTGGGCCTGACACCGAGCATTCTTTCTTGCAATGACTGGACATGAGTCCCATCCGTGTCTGCGTTCAATCCGGCAGTGATAATGTCGAAATGCTAGACCACGGCCCGTGATTATTCTATAGTCAACGACAGGTTAAGAGTTCAGGGAAACTCCCTGTCACCTCTTCCCACTTTAGCAAAGCGAATGCTGGAAAGGAGGTCGCCTCCGTCTCAGCATCCGCTCTGCTGAAGTGGAAAGAAGTGCGAGGAGCTTCGCCTGCTCTTAAACTGTCGCTGACCTTCGGTAGTGTTGGCACAACTGGGCCACGGTGACTTAGATTGAGCTCCTGAAAGGTCCCTTTTGCGCTCATTTTAGTTTATCTTTTGTCCCCAAGTTAATACAAAGAAGCTCCTCCCCTCCCCTTTCTATGGGCACACTCTTTCGTCGAGTCTTCCAAGAAATCTTTGAATCAAGTCTCTGTCTGATGGGGGGCACCAGTTCTTTCAAAAGAGGAAGATTGTTTTTAGCAAGAGAGAAGAAATGGCCAAGTTACATTTTTTACGCCCATGGCTTTCCACACGACCAGGCAGAACAGTGAGAATCCCGCAACGGAATATAGCGTGCCCCGGCCCAACGCTCGTAGTGCTAGGCTTGATCCGCTCTCCGGTATCTGCTTGGAGCTTAACAAGCCCTGAAAAAGTAGTCGAAGGAATGGTTTGCACACTGCACACACATTTCTATACACCACATACCATGTTCCTCAACTGAAAGGGAAGCTACAGGCACAGGCTAACTTTGCAGCCTGCCCTGCTACGACGGTTTGGAACAAATGGTGCAAGCTTGCACTCTTGGCTTATGATCTTGGCTGACGAAGGATGAAATGATATGAAATGATCTTGGCTTACAAAGAAGAAGGATGAAATGAGTATGGTCAAATGTTGTAAAAGTTAACCTTACAGCCAGGGGCATCGGAACTATTTAGGAGATTGGGGGGCAACCGCGATTTTGCACCCCCTTTCCCGTATTGTTTCCATTCAACTTCTGAACTGCCTGGGGGGGCAATCTCCCCCCTGCCCCCTGCCCCTGTTCCAACACCACTGCTTACAGCTGTGCTTACTTGAACTGAAATATGATCAAGTTAAAAATAGTAATATTTTTCAAAATTGATAAAAGTATGTTTTTAGACACATGGGATATCTGAAAAGTACTAATTTGAACGCAACTTCGCTGCCCATAAGTGCCACTACAGTCGGTGACAGGCCGAATCCAAAACATATTTTGACCAATAAATGATACCCCTGTCAAACGGGCTAATATAGCGCACTTCAGCTTGCCGAATGTCGCTTCAAGTGTTTCGGTGCCACACAAGAAACATTTCTGTCACTCACCAATGATGACAAAAATGATGGGTAAGGTATGATTAACATGTAAAATATTAAAGTAAAGGAATAAATTCTCGGCAATATTTTGTCTATTCAATGAATATGAATTGCAAAAGAAGATTGAGGGTGCACGTGAGCTGGTGGGTACTAGGCAACATGAGAAACAAGACACACGGAAACAAAAAAGGACGTACACAACACCGTCTTCTAGTTTTCGTGCCTCTAATTTATTGTGTTTGCAAGTTACAAAACAATGTTACATTAATGAACAATCTTTATGCCAATTGGATGATTCTCATCAATCATCTCAAGCCAAGATCAAGAAGATCTAACCTTGACGGTTGTGGCTTCCTGTCACCGATGTCTATGAGGAGGCCTTGACACTTCTTTTTTAGATCATGATTATCATGTTGTCTCCCACAGCTACCTGCTGAAACAAATACAGGCTCTACCCTCCTTTGCTAACCAAGATAGCATTGGAATGACTGACTTTGTCGAAGTCTTTTATCGATTCATTGCGGATCTTGGTACAGGTCAGTAAACTATATTTTTCTTTTTTTTGCAATGACATTCCTTTTTGTTCTGTCACGAATTTCTAATCATTTGTAGAATAATATCTACGCCATGTTTTTAGTTTCGGTGTTGGCATGTTTCGCTGTTGAAATATTGCTACTGAGGACATGCACTCAATTGAGTGAGGCGAGTTCGTAAAACTCGCCTAAAGCAGGGTGTGCCACACGGCTTCTTCCCGAAGCCGTGTGGCACACCACACAGATGACACTAAAGGCAACGTAAACTCCGTTGAAGTGCACTAAACTATCGCGTCGGACCACGGTATGATTCAACTAAGTCAAGCCACTCCAAAATCCACTTGATCTACAGTTACTAAGGTTTTATTGTGACTTAGGAACTATTTGATTAACAAAAAATAGTCGCAGTTTTTTTTGTTATAGACAGGTACCGGACGTTTCATCGAATAAGTGGACATTTCATTGAACGCCGATTCATTGAACGCCGTTTCACCGAATCACTTGACACCATTTCATTGAATTTAGCTTTACTAATTTTTGGAGTAATTTACTACCGCTTTCGAAATAGTTCAGACGCCGCTCCAAATTTACCAGAAATAGAATTACCACCCCGGTCAATTTTTTGTCCACCTAAACGTTGGCTGCTGAATCATCATATCAAAACTTGAGTGGGTACGCAACCTACTCTCTTCTAGCGAGGTTGGCGGCTGTTCTCGGTCACACTTTTTCCCACTTCATCCCTTTATTTATTGACGCGTGAAAGGCACTTTCTTCAGAGGAAACAGCTATTCTTCGCAGCACCTTTTTTTATTTTGTATATGACAATTTACTTTCGTTTTCATTTTATCCTAGGAGAATAGCTTTCTTTTTAAGCACATATATGTTCTTAAAAACGACTCGTCTCCCCTCTTCGTTAATTTATTGTAACCGACAGAACCGTGGACCTATCGGATCTTAGACATTTAGTATATATACTGCTTGTCAAATATCCGGTAGGTTCATGGTTCTGTCGGTTGCAATAAAGTAACAAAGAGGGGAGACATGTCCCCCCCCCCCCCCCCTTTCATGTATCATGGCACATGGAGACAGATCATTGCTTCAAGGACGGCTTCGTCCTGAAGCAGGTCTATTCAAGGGCGAAGATATATACGCCATTGAACGGACGTGCGCTCAGCATTGCTTTAAAAAGTGTTGTCAGTGTTCCCGTTTCTTATTGTATGTATGTATGTATATATCCTTTATTTCTGAGAGATTGGCCACATTAACCACCGCTAGTCATCATTTAGTAAAAGAAAGAATAGACGGTGACAAAAAAAGGTTTCTTCCTTTTATATATGTATAGGTGGTATTCACTGAGCCTGCAGGTTCGATTTTGCCAGGGAGCGCCACCGTCGATCCGCCATCTTCGAGGTCTCGGTTTGACTGGCTTGGCTACGCTACGCGGTCGTCCGATGCTAGTGTGTGCTAATTTCATATCGTTGAAACTTCGTTGAACAGAAGAGAGAATAAAAGTTTGTCTCGGGGGCGGGCCGTTTTCCTTGTTGCCGCCTAGTACTATGTGTAAAGGCTGAACCGCATGTAAGCAATTTGGCGCGACGGGACGAGACGAGCGACAGCGACGAGACAAGCGACGACGACTCGCTTCGCTGTCGCTCGGTCACTCGCGCGACGTGGCAAACCGCATGAAAGCGACGGGAGCAAGCGACCAAGGCGATAAGCGACCCTTTCTAGAAATCCAAAAACCGGGCGACCGACCGCGAGAAATCTCCGTCGCTCGTCGCCGACTCCCGTCACTGTCGCCATCGCTCGCTAAATCGCTTACATGCGGTTCACCCTTCATTGTCACTCGTCGCGTAGCTCGGTTTTGGGATTTCTAGAAAACTTAGCGCTCATCGCCTTGGTCGTGTGCTCCCGTCGCTTTCATGCGGTTTGCCTCGTCGCGCGAGTGACCGAGCGGCAGCGAAGCGGGTCGCCGTCGCTTGTCTTCCCGCTCGCCAAATCTCTTACACGTGGTTTTTAAATCGCTTGGGCTAATGAAAAATGCGCCGCATTTTTCATAAGCTGCGCACTCTGTGAGCCGCACGGTATGTTTCTGCACAAGAATGAACACCGAAGGCACGACGTATGTACGACACAGCGGCGATGGAGCAACACGGTTACACGGCCGTAGTACAAAAAATCCGCTAGAGAAAAACAATAAAGAAACCAGCATAACAAAACAAAGAGTAATCATACCGTGCTACAAAAGCACCAAAGTAGAAAAATTAGTTCTTGCAAGAGCTACCGCCGTCGGCACGGCGGGCGACACGGAGCGCTTCATGGAGCCGAGGGAGCAACGCGGCCGCGGTGAACGAGCCCGATAGCGACAAAAACGAACTAAAACACACAAAAAATACTCCCACGGCGCTTCAAAAGCACCAAAGTATAAAAATAACCCCTAGTTTCGATCAAAAAGACCCTCTAAAGTTGTAAAATACTGCTAAACCACGCTCAAAAGGTCCGGCCAGATGGCATTCGCGATAGCAAGAGACCTCGAAGATGGCGACCGTGGTGGGCGATGGCAGCGAACCTAGCGAGTGACGTCAAGTGAATGTCACCTATAGGTTTACAAATTATAATAAATATTAAAACACTGCTATCCTCCTGGTACTAAAAAGAAAAATATTTCCATGACGCAGAATTTCTACTGCCCAAGTAGGCGGTGTTCGATGAAATGGCGTTCGATGAAACGGCGTTTGATGAAAGTCCAGACCCAGTTACAGACGTATATTTTGACTCCTACCTGCGTAAACATTTCCGGGTCCCGTTTTTTGGCCATGGCAATCGTCATGCCGAAACCAAAGAGGGCCGCGGATCCAGCAACGCCCGCTAAGAATGCTCCCTCTGAAAAGAGTTGAATCGCAACAATTAAGACGATGGCGTCTATCTCATGCGGTTTTCTTCCCTTACTTCTACACGAGATCACCGACAGATATCACAGCCTAACCTGCATATTTCCTGCCGTCGGTCGTGCTTTTGGAGTCATGCTGGCTGTCAGGAGCCAGCGACACTTGATCTTCGGTCATTGCTGAATTAACGCGCGCGAATAAGCGCTCATTAGAAGGACCGCCTGTTTTTCATCGAAGTACCGCACGAGTCCACGCGCGAAGCGAAGGTCACGCATTTGTTATGATTTCCTAAGGACTGTTTGTTTCTTGATATTCCTAAAACGCTCACTATGAAACGTTTTGGCGCTACTGTAGGTCTGCCCGTTCCCCGTTGTGTTAAATATTCTCAATAAACCATGCAATGAACTAGACAAAAACGGTTAAGCTTACCCACAAAAAACCTTGTAGGTTAATTTTAACTGTGTATTGCTTTAATAAAGTTTGTTTATTATCTTAATAAAAAAACGTTAGCACGCAAATACGTTTTAAACACGTTAACTTTGAAGCGCCCTCACTCAAGTCTTTCGACCTATTTTTACCCTTCTGTTTGCACCGGCCTAACCGTGCAGTATAGTGCACGGCGGCAAGAGAAAAAAGGAAAAGTGCAGTAAAACAAACACGGGACGGAGGTCCAGCGAAAACACCGTGAAGTCGTGAAGTCGTCGTCGGGGTATTTATCAGTTCGTCGCACCCTCCCGACATGAACCCCCCTCTCGCCGTTTTCTTCCGCGCGAACGGGTAGTGGCCCTATTGCTCCGACCATTAGATGATCCACCGCTATCTGCGGCGTTCTCTGCGTTTGGCGTATCGCGTATGATGAGCAAATCGCCGGTGCTTTCGACGTCGAGATTGCGGATCCGCCTAAGCCTTGCCCCTGCCCGTTGCCGCTACACCGACGTCATGAACGGCGTCTGGCGTTCCCGACGTACTCCGTAGTTCTACACGACCGGGGCTCGGGCGGCGGCAGTCCTGGGGCACGCGTTCCAGCCCGTTCCGACCCATGCTAGGCGAAGCTGCCTACTCCAAGGTCTGCACGAATTTGCCGTCCAACGCGACGACGCCAGTGTGCTTGGTGGAGTCGGAGGACTACGGCGACAACATGCCGCAAGTGGTCAAAAAGTGGCAGGTCTTCCCAGGAAGAAACAAGTTCTACTGCGACGGCAGGCTTATGATGGCTCGACAGACTGGGGTGTTTTTCGTCACCGTGGTTCTCATCGTGGGGACATGCACGCTATTTTTCGTTTGCGAGTGAGTACCTACTTCGTTCTTTTCTTAGATCGGTCGCAGCTTTTCTTTTTCTCGCGCCGCTTAATTGACGCGACCTTGCGTGGAATTCAAAAGATGAAAGCGATGCCGTCCGTCTGTTCTAAACCGATGGACCCTCCGGCTAAACGTCACAGGCTGTCATATGATCTGCCCCCTTTCGAGCCTGCTGTTCTCTTGCGAGTGGGTTGAGCCGGCCCGATTGTGTCGAGGTCATTGCTATTAAGGCTCCCCTTGTGATCTCATGAATGATGCTTTTTTCGTCGGCTAATCGACGCAGAGCGCTGCGCCTATCGCTTAGTCGCCGAGGTCTCCGTCTAGTGAGGATCCAAGTTGAAATTGAATTAAACTAGCGTTTCGCACACAGCCCTTTGACACTGTCCTGTGATCTGTGAAGAATGTTGCCCTTATTAAACCGCCTGCTTGTGTCTTTTTACCTCTTTACGTTCTTGGTTAGTTGTTTGTCGCTATGGCTGTCTTGGCGAAAGCTGAAAATCGACGGCACAAATACAAAACGGGCCTAGAGAAAACGTGACCGATACTGACCTGTTTTTGAGTTTCCTGGAGATCGCGTTGGGTTTTTTGCTTTCATCTTGTCCTAAAATGGCGCATAAATCGACCTAAATGCTAGAATTTTGTAATTCTAACGCGTCGCAGCCAGATTTCAGAGGATGCTGACAAAGTTGTAACCTAAGCTCGGTGTTGCCCGGTCTTTTCATTGCCCCGTCTGAGTTCAAACGATGTCGTTCCCTCCAACAATCTTGTCGGCATAGCAGAATTACGTAAAACTTTTTAGCAATGTTTTTTGTTTTTTTTTTATATATTTTAGTTAGACGCATACTCGTATCAAAGGCTAAGTACAGTATAGTAATATCATTGACAGAGATCTCAGTACAGTGAGGTCTGCTTTTAGTGTCATTAGTGGTGTCGTGTTTAATGCAGTACACAGGGATCCAAATACACCGAGATGCTGCATTGAGTATATTGTCTCCCTCCTGTGGTTTTCAGTTGTCCGTACTTATCCCGAGAGATCAGCCCTGCCATCCCAGCCGTCGCAGCATTTCTCTTCTTGTTTGTGATGTCGGCACTGTTTAGGACTAGCTTCAGTGATCCTGGAGTCATTCCTAGGGCCAGCTTGGAAGAAGCAGCAGACATTGAAAAGCAAATAGGTAAGGCTCGAGAACGCTTGATGATTTTCCCGCTGCCAGAAATAAAAGTTGAGATGGTTTTATGCAGAGAGCAAGTCGTCTGCTTCTTGCGCAGGAGTTGTGGTGACGTCAGAACGACACCGAGCTCTCATTGGCTTTGATTGAAAAGATAGTGGGTTGACCTCAACACTAGGTGCCTTGATGTCTGCCCAGTATTTTTTTCAATCAGCCAATGAGAGCTCGGCATTCTGACATCATCGTAACCCCTGTGCAAGAAGCAGACGAACTTGCGCTCCGCATATCTTTCACTGCAACCCTCTGGGGCATTAAGTATATATTTCTAGGTACTGCACTAATTGATGTTTTTGATTGTGGTATTTTCATTATGGTGCTTGTACCACCAGCAGTTTCCGAACATCTGGTACAGGATAATTATTCGGAGTAATAGCAACCAATGGGCAACTTCGGAGAATGCATGAACTACAGTTTAAGCTTCGGCCAATTCGGTGGCTTTCCAGAAGCTTGTTTTAAAATCGTGAAAGTGGGAACAGATTATTTCATATCTTGCAGAATTTGAGCATACAAGACAGAGGGTGAGAGTTACTTTCAATAAAAATTTGAAGTTTATGCTTCTGTAAAAGTTATGTCACTGAGAACATGAGAAAATCATTGCTGTAGAGTGTAGATATCAGTGCATAGTAGAAAGAACAAAGTCTGATGTAAGACACGTGATGCTCTTTGTTTTGGTATGAAATGATTGTGAGTTTGAACCCTACCAGGCCAGTGAACCTCGGTTGCTTTGACACATAACCCCCAAACTTTCATTGAAATGTCAGAAACAAAGTAGGCATATTGGTACATTTGTATAGTGAGATAGACAAGGGTGGTCAAAAGGAAGCATATATGCATTGGTAAGTTAGTTTGTGTAGGGCACTCAATTCTGGCAGATTTCTTATTGACTTTTCTAACAATTTAATGAATATGAGGCAGTTATATCACTTTAATGCATGCTTTCTATTAGCAACTGACACTTTTATTGGTGAGGGGACTGAGTTATGGCCTTGTCGAACTTGTCTCACAAAGCTCAGTGTTTACCCAAAACAAGGTGTGTAGACAGCTCGTCTACACACCTTGTTCAAACTAGGCCACATGTCTGTATCAGTGTTTACCCAAAACAAGGTATGTAGACGGCTAGTCTACACACCTTGTTCAAACTAGGCCAGATGTCTGTACGCGACAGATATTTTATTTTAAGCGAGCTTTCATTGCTCAACGTAATTTCAAATTTCTATAAAAAAAGGGGAGGGGGAGGTTTCAAGTAAGTTTTTATTAAACTTTTAAATGCATAAACTTTAACAACTTGTTTGTAAATAACCGAGTGTCATCTGCTCCCCCCCCAAAAGAAAAGAAGAATCTTGTCGCTTAAGATAGTGTTCTATTAAATGTAGTTGACTAGATTGGGTAATGCCAAAAATGCTTTAATTACTTTTTTTCTTAAGTACTCTTTCTTTTCTCATTTTCAAGGTTGCGTGACTAATATGGCTCATTGCCTCATTTTTTATGCACATTTTTAATAAATATGATGCTCCTGGCTATGAACTTTGCTGAGTTTTCTAGCTTGTGCAGAACTTCCCTTGCCCCAGTGGCATCACTAAAGGGGGGGCAGGGTGGGACGGACCACCTTGGGTGCAGCGCTCAGGGTTTGCATGGGCACCGAAAAGGGAGGGGGGGTTTACAGCGGGCTATTGCCCCGGGTTTCGTTGACCCTAGTGATGCCACTGCCTTGCTTTTTTATGTTACGCATGATAAAAGGAATTATTCAAAAGGGGTTTGGAATCGGTTGCTTATAATGCATACCACTTAAACCTGGGATAACCAATTAACAGTTTTCTGCACTATTCAGGACTGCCAAATACTTTCTTTTCTTTCTTTCAGAGGTGCCAAACGGGTCAAGTTCCCCGACGTTTCGGCCGCCACCGCGCACCAAAGAGGTGGTGGTGAGCGGGCAGACTATAAAGTTGAAGTACTGCTTCACCTGCAAGATATTTCGGCCCCCAAGGGCCTCCCATTGTAGCTTGTGTGACAATTGTGTTGGTGAGTGGTCCTCCTCTGTGGCACTTATTTGCACAGTGGCTATGGGCTGAGACAGTCGTCTCACCAGTTGAGTTGTGCATTGTGCGTGCATCCACTCTCCTGAAACTTGTTGGTATTAGAGTCTTTATTTACACTTAAGGTGTACAATTTTGGTCAATGCAAGGGCGAGATCTATTTTGCCTCTTGTGGGGTGAGCAAAGCAAGCGTTCGTAGACGGCTCGTCTGCTAACGCGAGCGAAAAGGGGTTTTCTACGGTTCATCGAATGACATTTCATCGAAGCACGGTTTAGAGAAAGCAGAGCCTCAGTTCAGAGAACACCGTTTATCAAAAAGGGGACGCCTTCTAAAAAAAGGCTTTCCTACTTCTCGCGTGTATCACTGGTGCGTGTGTTAAGCCATGCCTCCCGCTGCGCTCCCGCCGCTTCGTGGCGGCAGTCTGCGGCGGTTGATTACAAACATGTTAACTCACCTGATTTACCCGTACACGCCGCTTCGCGGCGGCCGAATTCGCTAAAAGGAGGCTCATCGCCATTTTCTCTAAACTGGGTTCTCTATAAAGGCATTCGATAAACGGGGGTCGGTAAAACGGCGTTCGCTAAAACTAGCTTCTCTGAACTGCATGCCTCAGAGCGAAAAGCGCAGTTCATCTGCTACAAAGTTTTATTCGGAGACGATAGAAAAAGAAACACCTTATGCCGTCTGCTAACAGACCGGAAAAAAGTTGACTGTTTGCTATGAACCGGGTGCCGCAGCGAATTGAAATCGGTCGTAGGCTGAAATTGTGATTGTATGCTATTTCGCGTGAGAAGTAATTGACAACTCACACTTTAATCACAAATCTAAAGTTGTTCCACTGCTTTACACAAGCTGACATTGACTGGTGTATTAAGGAATACTAAGGACAAGCACTTCAGTGGCCACGAGACCTCTCTCACTATTTGAAGTTTGGTGAGATGGTCTTGCCAAAATATTGCCTGATTTTAAACTTAGAGTGGGTCAAGACATTTTCATTGGCTGATAACTGCGGTGCCACGTCCAATCAGCAGCCAAAAACGCTCTCGTTCTCACCTTGACCAAAATCGGACCCCTGGGGTCGCTTATCTGAAGATTCTGAGAGCTTGTGTCTGGCTTCCAAACCTTAGGAGCAAATTTTAGCATGTTCAGGTTGTGGCAACAACCTGAGAATGTAGCAGCATAGTACGGGGACAGTGTTGCATTTGTCTTGTTTTTTTTTCCCACCCTTATCGTGAGATACAATGTTCCTATCTGTCAACCGCTAGCCTGAACCATTCATAGTAGTGCCATTCTGGATGCTTTGAACACAGAGTTTAATAAAGTGACTATTACTCCTCATACAGTGCAATTAATGTTTCTTCTACTGTTGTATTTTTTATATTAGCTAGTGGCGGTCTATTCTCTCTGAACGTTACACCTGTCTATAACGAGTATGGTCCTGAGGCTGCCAGCATCAGTGTGCATTAATTTTTATGTAAATTCTAAAGAAATATATGTGGGATGATGTTTAGGGCTAGGAAGACATCACGCAATGGTCAAAGCTATCATCACACCTGAATTTTCGTTTTGTTTTACAGAGAGGTTTGACCACCATTGCCCTTGGGTGGGGAATTGTGTAGGGAAGAGAAACTACCGGTACTTTTACATCTTCATCATCTCGCTTGCCTTCCTGTGCGTCTTTGTGTTTGCGTGCGTCATCACCCACATCGTGTTTGGTAAGTGCTCGCAGGAATCTAGCTACCGGCTTTCCTTCAGCTGTTTCAAGCCCTAGCATTCAAAGGAAAGTGACAAAAATGTTAGTTCTAGTCTTCTGCGAAACTCGAATACAGGATACCAGAAAAATTGGCTTTCTTCTTTCTATACTATAATGCCCCAAAAGATACCCTGTCTTTACCTTGTGACAAGTCTGGGGAAAAAATGAAAGGAGGGGGGGGTGGGGTCAGTTAGTTATTGATCTGTGGCCAAAAAAGCTTGCAGATGTTGGTCAACTCGTATTTTCACACAATCATGTGTACACTAACTGTCCTTTGCTGTTCCTGAAGGTATGCAAAATGCAAACACATTGAGACAGATAGCCACGGAGGGGATGTTCATTCTGTGTTCGTTGTTTCAATCAGGCCGGCCCAAGAATTAAAATTATGTTATTATCGTAAAGGTGCACTAAAGACATTTCTGAGATTGTCTGTTCTTGGTGATAACTTATCTTACGGGCTCCAAGCATCCTAGAAACCTAAAAGTTATGCTTGTGGGGTGTCTATTTCCCTACTAAAAACGTGATAAAAGTTTGTGCCACACCCCTTTCTGAGTGCGAAAATCTGGAGCACAGAATCCAGCCGAGGCGCTGGCGGTGCCTCCGCTGCCGGCGCCTCTGTTTGCGATTGGCTGACGCGTGCCCGTCGTCATGCCGCCGGCGGCTCCGTTGAACTTTGTGCTCCAGATTTTTCCACTCGGAAACGGCCGTGGCACAGACTTTTATCACATTTTAGTAGGGAAATGTACGTCGCACGAGTATAATGTTTTGATTTCTGGGATGCTAAGATCACATAGAATGAGTTATCACCAAGAACGGACAATCTCAGAAACGTCTTTAGTGCCCCTTTAAATATTGTAAAAGTGTTGTGCGACGAAACAGCCGATGCTCTTTGCTGAACTCGTGAATGGGTCAAAACATTTTCATTGGTTGATTATATGCAGACTGTGGTACCACATCCAATCAGCAGCCAAGAACGCTCTCATTCTCTCCTTGACCAAAATCTGCATGGTGAACCAGAAGTTCTGCCTGTGGGCATTTCAGTGCTTGTCCTGTCACCTTGACTTCGGTGAATTCATGTCTGTCTGTAGACATCCTTGGGGATTATAGTGAAACCTTCCCGACTTGCAGTACACGCTTAAATATTTTTAACTTGAAGAAGATCTCCGAGTTGTAGGGGGTGTCACTGTATTTGAACTTGTTATGCAATTTTCAGGGGCAGTCTTCAACTTGCAAACTTCTCTTTAAACAGTTGTTAATTCAAACTTTGCAGGGTGAAGCTTTTATAGATTTTGTGTTTTTTTAATTTTTTTTCAGTTGCCAGGGATCACGACTCATACTTAGAAGCCGTGAAGGAGTCTCCCGCAAGATATCCTTTTCGCTGTTTGTTTTTCCTTGGCACACAGCACTTTCTCTCGCCCCCACTAGACTTTCTCATAACATCCTGCCACGAATGCCTGCACCCACCCGAAGGGAGCTAATGAGCCACCGAGCTGCGTTTATTTTCATTTCTGCTTGCGGTGCCTGACCTTGACTCGTGTTTCTTCCTCACTGTTGTGGAGCTGGTGGTGTGTTTCTTTTCGGTCTGGTCCATCATGGGCCTGGCTGGCTTCCACACATACCTCACCACCTCAAACCAAACGACCAACGAAGATGTGAGTGTGAATTCTTGGGAGCCACGTGTTTGTTGCCAAGTGTTATCCACCCGTTCGAGTTGCTTTCATATAATCAACCTTACAAAATAACATTCCTAACCAAAAACAAAATGTGTGAGGGCAATGGAGGTCGACTTTGAAATGGTAACTCTCGGGACAACTAAAAAACTTGGACAGGAATACTGGGATGAATACCGATAGCAGAAAACGTCTCGGAGTTGAATTTTAATTCTATTCGAGTCCTCATTGAGTATAGTAATGGATGGCGGGTTGTTCCAGTCAATGGGTATCTCATGGGAATGGTGTGGCGATGGGACGTTGAGTGTAGTGGTGGATGACGGGTTGTTCCAGTCAATGAGTGTCTTATGGGAATTGTGTGTTGATGGGGCTAGGAAAAAGTGGGAAATTATCTTCTGTAAATATTTGTTTTAGTGCTTATGTAAATGTTATTCTATTTGGGTTGACAATGTAGTCATATTGAAATTATAAAAACCAAATGAAGATGATAGCTACCACAATTAATTAGAGCAAAACAGGGTAATTATTTATTTGCTACGAAAAGTTGACTTTGTTTCAGTGGAAGAGAGTTGTTATGCACAGCGCATTTGTTTCTTCTATCAGAAATCCTTGTAATGTTTTTCGTATAACTGGCCTTTTGTATTAAGGAGCTTGTGTGTGCTCACCTTCCTTCCAGATCAAGGGCTCCTTTTCCTCACGGAGGGGTCAGGACATCTACAACCCGTATAGCAAAGGTTCTTTTCTGAGCAACTGTGCTTCTGTTCTTTGCAGTCCCACACCGCCAAGGTGAGTTGTTTAATGCCTCCCGACTTGCCTTTTTTTTTTTTGTGGGGGGGGGGGGGGGGGGGTGAGGGGGGAGTAGCATTTTTTTTAGTTTGTGCAATACAAACGAAGTTGAGGCAGTTTTTTCACATCGCTACAAACTTACCAATTGATTTGTAGCTAGAGTTAGCCTTGCAGGTACGTTACGAGGGTGAGAATAGTATCTGAGGGTCAAACTTTTGCGGCGCGTTATAAGTAATTGGACTTCTAGGAAATCAATTACATATTTGAGTGCCGTAAAATCCCGTAAGGGTTTTCACTTAAAATGAGGAGATAAACGGTGAAAAGCACGAGGTGGGCTATCTTTAGGGATGAGACAGCAAAACTTCATAAAAAATTATCGATAAACACGGGCACCCGCTACAAATCACGCGATACGGGAACTGATACCGCAAATTGCAGACATGGCAAATTCAGAGTTCACAACACGATAAACACGCGGGAATTTCTACAAACTCCTGTGTCTCAGGAAAGGACACCGCAGAATGCAGATGCAGCAGATTCGTGTTCCACGGTGCGATAAACACGCAGAAACCGGCTACAAACTTTTATGCCACGGGAACCGACGTCACGCGCGCAGATCGCAGACAAAGGAAACGCTGGAACTCTCTACAGAGTTGCATGTCGCGGAAACCAATATTGCGCTCTCAGATCACAGACAAAAATGTGGGAGCCCGCTGTGAACTCGCTCGTCACACGTACCAATACTGTAAATACTGCAGTTGACGCGATTCAGACATCACATGGGTGTCTGACAGGATGGGGTTGAGCAATGTGCAGAAATATTTATGTTCTGAATATTTAGGCCGAAAAATGAGATGGGTGATTTCTTGAGGGAGAGGGCGCCCTTACGGGATTTTACGATTATCTTATTGCCCCAAATTTTTTCGCCTAACGCCCATGCAGTAATTTGAGATTTGATAACTTTTTGCAATAAAACGAACATTAGTTATTGGTTTTGTAGGTACGGAGTACTTAACTCTTTAATACTCTATCTACAATATTTACATTAGATGAGCGGAATCCATGAACGGTAGCTGCGACCACAGAGAGCTTATTATGTCCCGTCGATCGTTCCATCTGTCTCGAGCTCCTTGGCTGGTCTCCGCCGCACACGCTTGTCCTTCTTGTCTTCTATGCGCACCGTGCAAATGGGTCCCTGCAGTTTCTTTGAGGCCATGCACATAGCCCTTTTCTTTTCCAAGGTGAGATCTGCACCTCTCCGGCAGCAGTGTCAAATGAGGCGATTTACAGCACGTATCTCTGGTTTTGAGAGTGTATGTCGGTGTAGCTGAGTTTTGCTGGGCCATGGGTTTTCTCATGAATGGGCTGTGACAGCCTGCGCTGCTGCAATTCCAGACACTGCTGGCAGCTAAATTGCCGAGTTTTTTTTTGTGTGTGTTGTGTTGTGTGCAATGAGAAAGCATTATCTCGTCTGGGAATAACACCAAGGCAAATATAAGCTACTTTCTGTGAGCCCGCACACAGAACAAATGCAATTGGAATGTTTGTTTCATTTTATGCAGATTATATAAGCGCCGAACACTCGGTCGTGTCAGTCGACGAAGCGCTTAACTGTTGAAAGCACCTGTCCAAAACATTTGACACCACAGGATGGCTTAAGGGGGCACTTGGGTTTCTAGGCTAACTTCAAAAGTACTAAAGCTAGGCTAATGAAATTTAAAGCACTTCTCTGCTTTGTTAAGAAGGTAAACTATAGAAAGTTTGGAGCTTTTGTGATGATTAGTTTGTCAAATATGTTAATATGCATATTGGTGGTTTGTGCAGGTTCCACAAATCTAATAACATTCTGCGTCATTATGAGAATTGGTGTCTACCTACCCAAGACATGACTCCAGGGGGTGAAACTATTGGCACATTTTTCAGGTGCATAGAAAAAACTTTTTGTCATGAAAAAATGTTAGCACTGTGCTCTCGAATTTCAGCAAAAGTTTGTACAACTATGGTAAAAGCTAGAGGTCGTAAACTAATGATCTAATAGTTTCACCCCTGCACATTTTATTTGGGAACAAGTCACAGTAAACAGAACTAAAATCAAATTAATACTTTACGAGATATCCCATGCACAGGCGAACCAGGTAGCGAAAAAACGCGTTTTGAGAAAAGTGACAAAGAAGACGAATGTCTACAGTTTAGAATCAAATAGTGTAATATTGCTCTAAAATTTATTGCGATTGTTCAGGAGTCATATTTGCAGAAGGAGACACTAGTAGAAGTTATTTAGGCACAATAAAACATATTTAAAAAAGTTAGTTTCTGCTTAAATTTTGCCGTTGAAAATGAAAATCATATAATTTTCTGTCAAAAAAAAGAAATGAGAATTCACCATAAAATCATGATAGCTTTGCATCAAAAGAAAGGACCTAGAAATTATTTCCGGAAAACAATAAAATTGGACGTGCAGTGTTCAAGATGACAAACACCAAATTGTGGAAAAGTGCATTTTGAGAAAACAAAATTTGAAGATCAAGCCCCTCATTTCTCACTTCCACTTCAGAAGCCCCCTGGGCAATAGTCTCGAGCGTCTGCTCTGGCTGCATTCTTCCTGGTACCTGTATGCAGCTATCTTTCTTTTTTGTGCATCCTTCAGCCTGTGTGTGTCTTTCTCTTGGGCCCTTTGCATAGTCTATTTACCTCGCCTGAGGTCCAGCTCTTCAGACAGTTCCTGTGCACTTCTTGCACAACCAGTGTTGAAGTGGCAAAGAGCGTCTGCAACTCCAGTTTCCACTGTGAACAGCGATGCATGCTCTTCTTTTTTGAGGAGTGACCAGATTACTGAATGGAGAGATTCTGCCGAGATTTGGGTCTTGGCTCCAGTGCACCTTTGCAGCAGTTCAGGATAAAACAGTCTGCTGTAAACAGGGAACATAGCTGTGGTCACATGTGGAGGGAGCTTGCACTTGTGCGGTGAAGGTGCTTTTCCTTCAGCTTCAGCCTTGCGGTGTGTACACCAAGAGTCTTTGCCAGAAGGGCAAAGGTAATGCTGAGGGTCCTCGTCGGTTGATGTGATATGGTGGAAGGTCGCCATTATTGCTTGCTGCATGTCTTCCACTCTGCTTGCATTGCTTTTCAAGGCCCAAGAATAATAGTTAGTCAGGAACTTGATCAGGTCTTGTGTGAGATGTCCTTTTCCACCCACCGGTTGTTGAGTTTTGTTCTTTTCAACAAGCCCCCGAAGTGCTGAACCCATGCGCTTAGCAACATGGTTCACACATTCCTCTTTGGTGATTGGAAACAACCCATACATGTTGACCTGGCAGAGAGCCTGGTGCATTCTGCAATCTCCATCCGAGACAATCGTCATGTATCTCAGCTCGTAGAGACTGAGACACCTCCGGAAGGGAAGCCTCCATTCTGGTAGAATGGAGGCTTCTACCTCCATTCTTCCGAACTTCACGGTGGTGTTCTGTTGACACTTGTGTTCCTCCTTCCAATCTTGGTACGTAGGGTCACCAGGCTCGGGGCCAGTATCGCACCCAAGACAGAAGTTTGAAAGCATGGCAGAGTCAAGTATGAGACCTGTGTAGTACTCTATAACAGTTCCCACACCAATACAAGAAGAGTGCCCTCGCTTCTTCCACAACCCATCATAAACAACAGTAATGTTCCTGGTGAAGGTAGGATCAAGCTCCTTGTACACATCCTTCATGATGACAGCAGCTTCTGCACAGATGGTTGCCAACATGGCCTTTGCTGCCTGCAGAAAATACTTCTTGAGGTGCTCTTGATGGGTTTTTTGATGCAGCCCCCTGTGTGAAACGTTCAGTGTGGCGAAGAAGTCATTTGGTACAGTTTGGCCTTTGCCAATTCCCTTGATTGCTTGCATGGCTCGAATGTTGGCATCAAACGCTTTTGAACTTTCCAGCCAGAGTGAGGACCAGAAAGCATTGCTTTCTCCACATGCAGTGCAGCTAACAATAAACTTCACAGCCAGGCCGTGTTCAGTTGGCCTTTTTTGTAGTTAGGCCGGCTTCCCTGCATTTGCTACAGATGGACGCAGTCGCAAGCATGCTGCTAATTGTGTCCACATCTGTGACTACATACTGAGAGGCATTCTCTGGAGTGACGGACACGTCGTCATGCTTGGAAGTTAGTGAAAACTTGTGCTCGGTGGCCGCCGTTGTCGTCAGCGTTTCGCTGCCTTCCTCAACTCGGTCTGCAATTGCCCGCGCCTCATCTTGCTCCATGTAGCTCGTTTGCAAGTGAGCAATCACTGTTCCACCTTCCACTCTGTCGCAAGAGGTGCTACACGCACTCTCTTGGGTCTAAATCACATCTTGCAAAGGCGGAATCGCTGAACTCTGCACACTTTTGGTAGTTTCACACGAGATTCAACAAGTGCCAGCATTCAAACAACGTATCACACATATGATGTGGTGCCACGTCGTCTAAACGGGGTTTATTTGAGACAGACCTCAAATAATGCAGCATATCCGATCTTCAGGGTTGACGGCAGTCACTTCACGATGATCGGACGAAATCTGAACTTGTTTCGGATCACATTCTGAGGAGAGGTCGAGATTCGCTCAGCACCTGAGCAAAGGAATGGATGCGTCTGTTCTGTCCCCCACCCCAGCCCGATCAGCTATTTTTGGCGAAGGCCTAGAAGGCTCCCCGAGGATTATGTCAGCGGAGGTAATCCCCGAAGAACGTAGAATGACCTGCGTCGTGGGGCGTTTGACGTTCCTCTCTTTATTTGTTCCGCACAAAGGCCGAGCAGAAACGCTTGATTAGGAGGCAGTCGGGCTACGAGCCCTGGTTCTCGCAGTGGAGGATTACACAAAGAAAGCAGCCCGATTAAAGCAAAAGCTTTCAAGAAAGGCCGGCAGACTCGGGAATGCACGACGCAGGTGGAGGGTTGCACTAAGCGGGTTTCCATAGCCCAAGAGGCTGGCAAAAAATTTCTGGCTGGCAGGTGTCGCGAGAATTGCAAAATGTCGGCGGCCATAGCGCTCTTTCTGGAAAGATCTATACTCTTCAACAAATTTTTTTTTCTTCTTTTTTTTTGTATAAGTTTTAAGGCATCAAGTTTCATGATAATAAAAATAATTTAATAACAGTTTCTTCCAGTTGTTGCTGTTGAATTTCATGCAGTACATTCGCACATCTATAAGCTGTCGTGACGAGTCGGGTAACTCGCTAAGGTAATATGATTAATGATCACTTTCATAGTAATCGGTCATTTCTCTTCGGTATCAAGTAATCAAATAATCTAACAAAATACTTTTTGTCCCAGAGAAAGTGTAGCTACTTCTTGACAGTGTGTATAGGACTGCTAAGGGCTATGTTTTGAAAACGTGTAGTGAAGATGCCTCTTCTCTTTTTGTGCAGCCTGATCGACAGGAGGGGCGTAGTAATTCCCGACAGTGGCGCCGCACTTAGGGAAAGCTATGGAACAGTCAAAGCATTTCACCTCTCAAGGGTATGTGAAACCTAGGAGTGCATTAAAATTTTCTTTCTATGACATTAATTCTGTTAAGACCCAAAACTCGGCTGAAATATAGGCACGTCGGTTTTGGGTTTTCATAAAACAAATTTTGATGTCCGTCATTGTGCTGTTAGCTTTGTTTTGCATTCTTATTCCACAGTTCACCATGTTGCTTTCCAGTAGTACATATTATGGATTCAATTCTTTTAGAACAAAGTTTTTTGGATGAGTCTTTACACTTGTTCAAATGCCTTACTGTTTCTGAGGCAGCTAAAACTCCTTACAGTATGGCTTTGGCATATGTTTATTCTCATGCCTTTTATTGTTGTGTTTTACTTAATTTACCGACACACTGGCCTTATGGCTCACTTTGAATGCTGTCGAAAAAATGAAGGCAATGTGTACATAGCGCGACACTGTGCGCGCAAAGAGGGCTATCATTAAAACTACTAGTATGGCAGAAAGGGGTCATACTATCCTGAGTCATGAAAATTTAGTGCCCACCAATACCCCTTCGAAACCAGTTGTGAAAAAGCACCAATGAAATGAAAAAGCACCAATAGCTCATGCTGTCAGCGTAGCGCAGTGTGCATGGGTGGAGATGCCACATAAACGAAGTCTGGGCTTGTGACGATTTCTCGCCGGTACGCTTCCAGAATGGGATCCAGGTGAACAACACCAGTGGGGTCCCGCCCCTAGACCTCAAGGTGGCCCACGGGGGTTACAGTGCCCCAATTCACATGGGGCGGGCAACATTGCCGCAAGCTGCCAACGGTTCCTACCCACGGGACCCCCTCTACCAAAATTCAGGGTCTCACGGTGGGTGCTTTTCACCTTGCTTTCATCACTCGTTTTTGGTGCGTGTGTGTGACCGTTACCTTAGGGCGGGGCTACCCCACAGTACTAGCAGCAGTTCGTGGAGCACTTTACTCTTCTTGACCTTCTCTATCTGTGAGAAGTCCTTTTGTTTAGCGACTGTGGAAGCTTAGTTGAAGCTGTACATTGCTCCATGGCCCTGCACTAGGCAGTGCCAGCTTTTGTGCTGACATGTGTATTCTGATATTTTGAATCTGGGAAAACATATTTGTCAAGTTTTATAGCTCTTGTTACACAATCCACGAGGATTGTTTGGTCATTTTTGCTATTTTTTAGGTGGCTATAGGTTTTCGAGATAGAGGAGTTTGAAAAACCCTAATGGGACATTGCAAACTAAAAATACATGTTTTTTTTTAGCTACCTGGATAGTGTATGTCAGGAGATCCAATTTTCCAAAAACCAAACTTTTGATGCGTTATTTACTTCCGGAAATATTTAGTTTACAGCGATTTCCTTTGTCCGCACGTGCTAGCTCAAATGTGCTTTCACTGTCAAGGTCAACGGCACATTGGCATCAAAATAGGAGTTACTTCTATTCAGGCTTTCGTTGGTTGGAAGGATTTTGTTTGATGCTTCAAATGTTGGCTATAAGATCTTTGCTGTGTGCTATGGTACCTCTTGAACAACATATTTTAATGCGATAGCATTGAGGAGCTTGTGTCGCAGAAAAGCCGGTGTCGGTGGCATGACGGGAAAATCCTGATTGGTCAATAGGGTCATGACGTCACATCCACATGACCTTGCGCGGGAATTTCAAGCAACCCTAAAGTGCTGTCATGAAACGTGACGTCACGCTTGGAATGAAAGTGATTAAAACATGACATGTAATGCGAATTAAAGGTCACCGCATGTCTCAAATGATTTTACTTTATAAAGTCCAGTCACCGAGCTATTTTTCGGACTTTTCAGGGACCGAATAAACGTCCGAATAATAGAACAGTCCGAAAAATCAGCAGGTTAAAGAACTTGCCTTTATTACGTCTAAGCGGACTTATAAAAAGCTTTAAGGAAAGGCACAGCCTAAAAATCGCAATTTTTTTTTTTTTTTTTTAAGTCACGTTTTTGGGAAATAGGTTGACCAGCTTTTAGAACTGATAAAGAATGCTGACCAAAAGTTTTATTCCTGTAAGTAAAGTATTTACTCCGAAATAAATTATTTTTGACGTGCTGGCGGCCACACGTGTGCGCCGATGATGCATCTGATCACGAAAATGTGCTATTTTCAAAGCGCACTCTCTCTGCGTCCTCCGCAAACAAGGGGGGGGGGGGGGGGGGGCTTGCCCCCGCCAGTTCTCTTTTGAGAGCTGGGGGGGCAAGCGCCCCCCTTGCCCCCCTTGGTTGATACGTACGCCCATGGCCAGGTACCGGCCATGCCGTCATGTTGTGAAACGAAACCACGTTTTTGCGCGGCGAGAGCCAGGTATTAGCCATGCCGTCATGTTGTGAAACGAAACCACGGTTTTGCATGGCGGCAGTTGCAGCACTTGCTCTTGAAAGCAACGGCCATGGGAAAACTATATTTGGTCCTACCAGTCACCATGGTTGCATGACGTTAGGTGTTGCCGGCCCCGCATCGCTGCAGATATGTCACTTTCTAAACTGAAATGTAAGGACCGCCGCAAGGTCATCAGCATTCCTGTTCTTGTTTAAATCATAAGATACTACAAAAATCCCTCTTTAACTCAGACTGCTGTGTCGAAGTATTGATTACCTAAGTTTCTCTCGGTGAGCTTTCTTTTGAGAGGGACCCCGGTATGTGAAAAGTTTGCCGTGAAAGAAAGGTTGGGAAGAGAAGTGAGCTGAAGCAAAGAAAGCAATGTCTGCACGCTGAACCCGCACAGCACACTTGTTTGTCTCGAGTTCAGTCGTTGCACAAAGCGGTCCAGGAACTTTTTGACCCTGACTCGTAATGTCTTGCATCGATGCGCTCAGGTTCTTTTTTTTGTGTGTTTAGCTTATACCTCGCCTGCTGGCCTGGCAGGCACGTGCCGTTGGACAGTTTTTTGTCGTATGCTGGACAATTACATTTTGCATACAATTTCGGGAACCAATTTTGGGGGCCACGGAGTGGGGTGGCACGGATTCGGTTTCGATAGAACAGCCGTCTCCGCTCGCAAGACAAAACACGTGCAACTGCAAGCTACCGAAGTTTCCCTCATGTGCATGTGAACATTATTGCCTTATGTTTACTTGCTTCTGACGAAACTCTGGCACGTCGGGAACCAGTAAAACGGTGGCAAGCGGTTTTTCGGAATTGCTCGGCAACGCCTACAGCATTGTACACTTGTAGGATGTCTCAATGTCTCTTTGGAGACATTGAAAGTGGACATTCATTACTTGCCGAAGGCAAAGCGAGGCTTCAGCAGCCTTGGAGAAAGTTTTGAAACGCAAGAGAAAAAGCACCCTCTAGTCGTACTGCACCTTTTTCTTGTGTACAGTTTCACATTGTACTGCAGTAGTTACGTGTTTTATCAGTCGGGAGACTGCTTCAATTTATTACATTATACAACTAGTCAACTTTATGCTTTGGTATTTACTACTATGCTGGTCATTTTAAAATAAATTTAATATGTGCAGTTTTGTTCGTATTTATCTATAGCAGTTACACATATATGTAAGATTTAGGGTAACTGAAGCATACCAAAATGTCATGTCATTGGCATTTTAGTTACATGTTGAAAGACTCCCAGGTGGTCTAACTTTACCATAAATTATTTAACGCGGCGAGCAAAGAGCCCTTTATTTGTCCAGCATTTAAAACAAATATTTCTATTTTTCTAAGAATATTGGCTCCAAAGCTACTTTTGCTGCTCCGAAACACTGTTCTGGCTGCTCCAAAAGCAACATTTTACTGCTCCAAAACACTGTTTTAACTGCTCCAAAGGCCGCTTTCGCTGCTCCAAAACATAGTTTTGGCTGCTCCTAATGGTGCTCCAAAACGCCTTAGGCCAATCACATCACTGTTAGTGCGAAAATGTAATGAGACCGCCACCTCTGGAGTTTGCATTTACTGTCTACGTCCAATTTTATACTGCGTTTTAGTCTCGCAGCTGCAATAAAACAACACAATTTTTAAATTTTTTTTATGGCTAGGTATTTGTTTCTTGTTTTTGTTGTTTGACCAATCGGTTGAGGTCTTATGGGTTAGTGAAATAAAAAGCATACTGAAATGAGCGTTACTGCACGGGTGATCTGGTGAATGATCATGGTGAAAAAAAACCTCGAAACAAGGAACGAAAAAAGGGGTTGTCCCCTTTTTTCGTTTCTTATTTCAAGGTTCTTTTCACTATGGTAAAAACCAGTTTGTTTGAACATTTCTGTCTCAGTGCTGTTTTACATGCCACAAAGTGGTAATGCTGCTTTATTTTATTAATTTGTCTAAAAATGCTATGGGTTCATTTGAGGTCATTGTAGAAGTGGAATGGAACACAGACAAGAAAAGAAAATGGAAACCTTAACTACTCAGTTCTGGTGCACACATAGGTCTCATAGATAAGCTGCTGGGCATAGGACCATGTGCAGTTTCACACAAATGCACATATTTTTGGGTGAAGATTTCTTGTGCTAAGATCTTATGAGTTTTATGGAAAACAAAGTTTGCTTTCTTGAACAAATTTATTGCATACAGAACACTTTCGTTTCGTTTTTTCTAATCTAGCAACATACGTCTTAAAAATTTTTGTGAGAGTACGAACAACTGTCGAAAATGTAGGTCTAGCCTTCCCCGTTCGACGCTCTTTGGTATTTCATTTTACGCTGAAGTTCAGCAGTAATATTTCCTGTATTTTTTTAGCATTATGAATATAATTGGGGGACGCGCCTTTGTGCGAGAGTGAAATGACCCTCCGCCAATTTCGATTTATGAAATATGCTTTATGCTAAGCTCTTTCATTGACACTTTCTATAGATGAGTTCCAGGCAATCGAGGTGCACTTGCAAAAAGATGTCTGGAACAATATTGAGCAGGCCTTTTGGTCGCATTGCTGCCATTAACCTTCAATGGGGAGAAAAATGACTCTTGATAAAAAAATTAATTGATAAGAATGACTTGGACATTATGCATTCCAAGAGCACTGAGGATCACATTTAACCCTTTCAAGTGCCGCTCACCATTTATGGTGGAATTTAATTTTCTTCACAAAGTTTGGTTGCCAGATATGGATTATAGAATTCTGCAGAAATTGTTAAAATGACTCAGTGCAATATATTTCCGCAAAAGAGTGAGGGTTCTAGATCTGCGCATTTGTGTACATAGAATTTCAAAGGGTTAATCACAGTTCATCTCATTTAGACAGAATTATCTCATTTTAACAAATAAAAACTAGAGGATGCCTGTCCAGTTTCTTTGCAATTCTGTAATTTGGAAGTAGGTTAAAAGAGGATATTGCAGAGGTTGCTTTTCATGCAATGCCTGCTTTGGTTTTAGTATTACAGTAGGAAACCTACAACCACCCTAAAAGGAACTTCCCATTGTGTTTCATTTTGTGCGAAATCTGTACTCAACGCTTCAACAGGTTTACGTTTGTGTGCCACCGTCCATTACTGGTCATAGATAGTTTCAACGGAGGCCGTTGGTAATGAAACAATGCGGGAGAGCTTTCAGAGGTGGAATTATCCAAGCATTCACATGCTACACGAAAAGAACGGCAAAATAGTATGGATGTTTTGTCTGTCTGTGTTGTTACGACCAGCATGCTCTTTTCCAGTAACTTCCCATGTCATCTTTGTGCATGTGCACCTCTAGACTGTTTGCATCGAGCCTGTAAAGAAAGGTTCCCGTCTTTCGCAACGATCAAATATGTTTATTTTTGTTTCGAGTTTTTGCATTGGTGATCTTTGTTGTGGGTTGTTGCCATACTTTTTTTTTAGACATTCCTGTCTATTCCCTCAGCCTGTCCCTTCCTTAGAAAAACTGATGTTAATTTTTTTTTTTCTTCTGCCAT